CAAGTGAGCCCTTTCTGAAGCTCCTATGGTTTCTAGCCATGTTGGTGAACAGACACTGGGTGCTTTGAGAGGCAGTGTTCTTTGACTGTCTTTTCTCTCCTGCTGAGCTTTCAGAGCCTAGCTGTTTTTCACAGTGATCCCAGCATTCCCTTTTGCATCTCCAGGCCCCTTTGGTTTTAAGAGCAGCTGGTCTCGCCTACTGGCTGTGAAGTCTTCTCACCTTCTCTGAATCTCAGGTTTGCTATGTGGAAATGAGACTGTGTGTGTGTGTGTGTGTGTGTGTGTGTGTGTGTGTGTGTGTGTGTCTGTGTGTGTGTCTGTGTCTGTATGAAATTTGGACTCCTCCTATGACCTCCTTTCCTTTTTGTTCTGATCCATGGAGAAGGTATGGTTCATTCCTGTTCCTCAGGCGTATCAAATGTTACTGAGTGCTTCCTACGGGCTAAGTCCTGGGCTACACTCTCTAGCCTCCAGGAGCTTGGACTCTAATTAGGAAGCACATACCCTAACTCCATGGAGTGCCAAAAGGCTGGCATAGTGCAACTGCTGCACCTTTGGAGCCAACCCTGGGAGTGAGGGAGTGAGGCTGTGAGGCCAGGGCAGGTTCCTAGAGACAGCAAGACCTAACTGAGACTTATCCTAGATCTTTGGAGAGCATTAATGGCAGGCCACAACACTGATCCTCAGCATCGGTCCCAGAAAGTTCAGGACTGGATGCTGACTGCAGACATTGTCTCCACGGTGAGCAAGAGCCAACTATCTAGAGCCAAAAGTATCCATGCTCATCTGGAGAGCAGTTAACCGGCGTCACTCACAGCCTGTTTGCTGGTAGGCCAAAGGTGGACAATATGCGTATGTAGCCACTTGGGAAAAGAAATTCTTGGTCTGGGCGCAGTGGCTCACACCTGTAATTCCAGCACTTTGGGAGGCTGAGGTGGGTGGATCACCTGAGGTCAGGAGTTCGAGACCAGCCTGACCAACATGGTGAAACCCCATCTCTACTAAAAACATTTGAAAATTAGCCAAGCATGGTGGTAGGCACCTATAATCCCGGCTACTTGGGAGGCTGAGGCAGAAGAATCACTTGAACCCAGTTGGCAGAAGTTTCAGTAAGCCGAGATCATGCCATTTCACTCCAGCCTGAGTGACAGAGCAAGACTGTCTCAAAAATAATAATAATAATAATAATAATAATAATTTCTTTCAGCCATTTTGAGGAATGCCCTGGACTCAGTATTGCATACCTTGTTTTTTCTTATTCTGCCAGGCTGTAAGTATTTCGAGAGAGTAGAGCATGTGTCTTAAGTGACTGAGCTGGCATGTACTGTGGTGAATTTTGACCAGCTGACTGAGGAATGCAGTCAGCGTCCAGGTGACTCTCGTGCTGCCTTCTCTAGAAGGGCTAACCTTGTGTGCCTGGAATACAAAGGAACTGGCACAGTCTGGGAATTTTTTTCTCTCTTCCCAATCCCTCTGTTTGTTTTTTCATCTCTAACGTGACCTGGCCGCCACTCTCTGTGTGCTACCTTTGCCCTGTAGCAGAAGGAACCATTCTGTTAGCATTTTTTTTTTTGAGACGGAGTTTCACTCTTGTTACCCAAGCTGGAGTGCAATGGCGCGATCTCGGCTCACCGCAACCTCCGCCTCCGGGGTTCAGGCAAATCTCCTGCCTCAGCCTCCTGAGTAGCTGGGATTACAGGCACGCGCCACCATGCCCAGCTAATTTTTTGTATTTTTAGTAGAGACGGGGTTTCACCATGTTGATCAGGATGGTCTCGATCTCTTGACCTCGTGATCCACCTACCTCAGCCTCCCAAAGTGCTGGGATTACAGGCTTGAGCCACCGCGCCTGGCTCTGTTAGCATTTTTGTGTAGCCTTGCACCAGATGAGAAGCTAAATGACTTGAATGACTTGACAAAGTCTATATGGCCAGGAAGTGGCTGGCCCCAAAATACTTCGGACCCCTAATAGTATGTCTTTGACACATTTGTCATTATCTTGCTGAAGTGGGCAGGACTCACCCAGCCCCACTTAGGTGCAGAGTTCACCCTGACCTGAAATGTGTGTGTGGCTGACTTCTTGGGAAACCCTGAAGCCAGAGGCTGAGGCACCCATCATTTTCTAGAAACAGGAATAACTGGAGAAACAAGTCTTTCAAAGTGACTCCACCTTTTGAGGTAACTGGGAGTGCTTTTTCTTGGGGTGACTCACTCAGGAAGTCCCCATTAGGTACTCAAGAGTCCTTTTCTCTCCTTTTATGGCAGTCTGCAAATAGCAGAGAGAAGCTCCTGACTCTGGATGCTCCCTGGGTGCCTGCCTTTGGCCCTGCTGCTGCCTACTGCTTTAACACATTCTTCTGTCCCTGCTGTTTAGATGCCGCCTTGTAGGAGCCTGTTGCTAGGGTGTGTTCTGTTGTGTCTTCCACTGCCTTTAAACAAGCAGCTCATGTTCCTTTTCTCTCTCCTAGAATGGGTCACTGTGTAAGCCTTTTTCGAAGGTCAAGATTCCAGGATTGCCCCCAAATAGGCCAGACTCACCCCCACTCCCCACTCCCCACTCCCCACTCCCGGGTATCAGGTCTCAGGTATGAAGGGTGAGAGGTCCCTGGAGCTCCCTCAGCTCCACTCTCGGTGACCTGGCGCCTGAGCAAACATTACCTGCCTTCTGCAGAGTGTCCTGGAGAGGCAAGTCCTCTGTCTGCAGCAACTTCCCTCCCAGGGGACCTGGAATTCCCTCAGTCTTCAGTGGAGAATGGAGAGACAATTTATTCCCTCCGAGTTCTATTAGGCTGTAATGTCTCACAGCTTGAAATGCAGACAGAAGCTATTAAAAGCAGTGAAAGTTATTTATTCTTTTTTTTTTTTTTCTTTTTCTATATTGACTTGTGGAAGAAGGAAAGTGACAGGGTCTTTGAAGTTTGCAAAGCCTATGTGAGCCTTGGCACACCTCTTGGCGGAAGGTGTTTAGTGGATCCCAGGAGGCAAGATCGAAGGTGGGGTCAAAGCAGGCAAACCCGAGTTCTTGGTCAGGCACTTGCCTGGGCTGGGTGGGCTGGCTCTGGCTTCAAATACAGAACATGAATGGAAAGCAGCCATGGTAGCAGGAGCAATGATGATGATGATGACGTTGCTGGCAATCACTGACATTTATGGAACTCATTAATAATGTCCCTGGTACTATACAAAGTTCTTACTGACATACATTATCTGATTAGTCCATTCTTTCCTAATCCCGTAAAGCAGACAGTTTATTGATCCCCATCTCAAAAGTGATGAAATGGAAGTTTAGAGATATTAAGTTGTGAAATAAGAAACTTAGGTTTGGTCTCTGTCCCCATTTCCTGGCACCCGACAGCTCTTAGGACCCTCAGTCTCTCTGAAGTGATGTGTCTTTTTGAATGCCAATGAGATGACTGGGTGCCTGAGGGGGCTCCTGAGAGTCTGAGGATGGGGGCCAGGTGCCGTGGGAGCCAACCCTATGACTAAGGTGTTTGACTTCCAGCCCCATCTCCCCAGCCTCTTTCCGGGGCGGTGGGAGCGGGGAAGTGAGGCTGAAGCTTGAAAGGATCACCAGTGGCCAATGATGTAATCAGTCGTGTCCACACGATGAAGCCTCCATATAACCCAAAAGGCTGGGCTTCCAGGAGCTTCTGGATTGCTGAAGGGGTGGAAGTCCCTGGAGTATACCAACCCCGCACCTGGAGAGGGCGTGGAGCTGCCACTTCTCTCCCACATCCCTTGCCGTGTGCATCTCTTCCATCTCCAAGCAGGGAGTATCAGAATTGAGTTATGTTTTAGGACACCCTGCTGATGTTGGAGAATGGCTTTATGTGGGGAAAAAAACCCACATGTTTCGGTTATGAAAGTGTTCTGTGTTGTGTGAGTATAAGACAAAGAAAGTTTGTTTTTCAAATACACATGTAAATTTGCCCAAAGTCTCAACTGCTAAGTAAAAAAAAAATGTAGACTTCTCACCTGGCCATCTGGCTTCAAGCCTACACTCTCTGTTAGGCTCTTGTGGGGTCAGCCTAGGCTCAACTCCATTGATGAACTTGGAAGCATGGCTTGATTTTATCACCTGCATATTTGAAATAATAATCATTTTTACCTATGTTGACAAAAGGAGGAAAACTCTTTAAAATATTTGAAGATATTTATTTTGAGCCAAATATGAGTGACCAGTGGTCTGTGACACAGTCCTTGGGAGATCCTGAGAATGTGTGCCCAAGTTGGGGCACAGCCTACTATACGTTTTAGGGAAACGTGAGACATCAGTCAAATACCTGTAAGATATATATTGGTTCAGTCCAGAAAGATGGGACAACTGGAAGCCAGGGCTTCCAGGTCACAGGTAGATACAAATATTTTCTGATAGGCAGTTGACTGAAATAGTCAAGTTATTGTCTAAAGGCTTAGAAATGTCTGAGTTAAGATAAGAAGTGGTGGAAACCAAGGTTTTATCATGTGGGTAAAGCTTCCAGGTAGGAGGTTTTGGAGAGAACAGATTGTAAATGTTTCTTATCAGACTTAAAGAGTGTGCTCTATCAGTAATTCCAAAAGGGAGGAGGGTGTAATGAGGCATGTCTGACCCTTGCTTCCCATCAAGGCCTGAACTAGTTTTTCAGGTTAACTTTGGAATGCCCTTTGCTGCGAGGAGGGGTCCATTTGGATGGTTGGCAGGCTTAGAATTTTACTTTTGGTTTACAGCTAACATAGGTATGGCAAGGATGGTGTGGGGTAATTTGTAAAATGCTTGAAATGGTGAGCAGCACAGAGTATGTGCTAACTGCGTTTTTACTGACTCATGCTGACTGCAGCCCCAGGAGGGCACGGGCTCACTGCCCACGCTTTGTGCCTCCTGGCTGACTTCTGAGATCAGCTGCAGAGGTTAGACTTCTTTCCAGGGAAGAAGGGTGGGGATGTCAGGGGTGGAGAGTGCCTGTGTCCTTCTGTGTGCATTGGGCTCCTTCCTCCTTAATTATCTGCTTTCCGCTTTTTAGGCTGAACTCCAGTGCACTCAGTTAGACTTGGAGCGGAAACTCAAGTTGAACGAAAATGCCATCTCCAGGCTCCAGGCCAACCAAAAGTCCGTTCTGGTAAGGTCAGCCTGGGTCAGCCAGGCCTGTCTGGGGATGTGGAACATGGTACTGCATGCCTAGCCTCCATGCCTATAGGTTCCTCGGGATTTCTCTGCAAGTGAGAATTGTAGATTCACTTGACTACACCATGGGGTAGCCTCACCTTGATGTCAGGATTTGTTATGAAATTAGCTTAAGTGTTAAACCCGGCAAGTGATCCGCTTTTTAAGAATATAAATTAGGACCAAGACTAATCCTTTAACAACAACATTCTTATTTCTACATTTGCATATGCTGTCCTGACAGGGTGCATGTGTGTGTGGGGCTGGGTATTTAGTCAGAGGTCCAGAAATCATACAGAATCTTGGCTTCTTCCATTATGTGAGGGTTTCTGCATGTGAGTCTCACCAGTCCTGTAAGACCTGGCAGCTGGAAAAAAAGGAAACTCAGGATTAGTGATGGTATTTCTTTCTTTTTTTTTTTTTTTTTTTTTTTTTTTTGAGACAGAGTTTAGCTCTTGTTACCCAGGCTGGAGTGCAATGGCGCTATCTCGGCTCACCGCAACCTCCGCCTACTGGGTTCAGGCAATTCTCCTGCCTCAGCCTCCTGAGTAGCTGGGATTACAGGCGCGCGCCGCCATGCCCAGCTGATTTTTTGTATTTTTAGTAGAGACGGGGTTTCACCATGTTGACCAGGATGGTCTTGATCTCTTGACCTCATGATCCACCTGCCTCGGACTCCTAAAGTGCTGGGATTACAGGCGTGAGCCACCGCGCCCGGCCCTAGTGATGGTATTTCAAAAGGCCATGGTGTGCCAGGCTAAGTAGGCAGTAAGTGGTCTCCAGGTAGACTCTGAAAAGGTCTACAAATGCCTCTCATCAGTGGCAAGCCAATACCTACCACTCAGAAGAGCATGCAAAACAGGTTGAGTGCAGTGGCTCACACCTGTAATCCCAACACTTTGAGAGGCCAAGGCAGGCGGATCACTGGAGGTCAGGAGTTCGAGGCCAGTCTGGCCAACACAGTGAAACCCTGATTTTACTAAAAAATACAAAAATTAGCCAGGCATGGTGGTGCTTACCTGTAGTCCAGCTACTTAAGAGGCTGAGGCAGGAGAACTGCTTGAGCCCAGGAGGTGGAGGCTGCAGTGAGCTGAGTTTGCAACACTGCACTCCAGCCCGGGTAACAGTGAGACTCCGTGTAAAAAAAAAAAAAAGAACACTAAACACTTACCCTATGAAGTGAATCAGCATTGTCATTTTTATATCCTGAGAATGAATGATTCCATCCATCATCCATCCATCCATTCATCTACCCTTAAAGCATGTATTCATTTCAACTTAATTTTCACCTCCTGGATGTTTACAACTAACTAGCTACTGAAGGATGAAACCTCTTTCTTACCCACAACATTTTATTAAAGGAAGAAAGAGAATTATCCCTTTAAAGCCTTATAAACCTTCAGAGATAATTGATTTCCAGGCTCAAGATAATTTGGAGAACCTCTAGGAGGATCTTGTATTTTCCCAGCTCTTTAATTTTCAGACATGTTGATCCCTCCTCAGTTCTCATAATTACATGATGACCAAGGGCAGTAGTTATTACAATAGCTAGCTACCATGCACAAGGGGCATGAAGACATGCAGAGATGACTCGTCTGGAGCCCTCTAGAGTGATGGAATGGGAGAGCATAGGCTTGTTGCTCCCTTGACCTAAGAATGACTCAGAATATTGACAGGCATGTACACCCGCATCAAATCTTTTTTTTTTTTTTTTTTTTTTGAGACGGAGTTTCGCTTTTGTTACCCAGCCTGGAGTGCAATGGCATGATCTCGGCTCACCGCAACCTCCGCCTCCTGGGTTCAAGCAATTCTCCTGCCTCAGCCTCCTGAGTAGCTGGGATTACAGGCGCACACCACCATACCCAGCTAATATTTTTTTGTATTTTTAGTAGAGACGGGGTTTCACCATGTTGACCAGGATGTCTCAACCTCTTGACCTTGTGATCCACCCGCCTCGGCCTCCCAAAGTGCTGGGATTGCAGGCGTGAGCCACCGCGCCCGGCCAAATCTTTAAACCATTACCTGCTGGCTCCTCGGATGTGTTTGAGGCCTCTCCTCTCTCTGCTTGTCATCATTTGGGCAGTAAATACCCTCTGCACATTACATTTACATGCAGGAAAGCAGTATTTCTCAATGGGAAGGTTTAGGAATGAGAGGCCAGGCCATAGCAGAAGTCAATCCACCAATATCATCTGACGCCTCCCACCATCCTTCCTCAGATGGCCTCAGTGGGGCCGAGGGTGAGGATTTAGATCCTGAATTTGTCTTTAGTCTTCATGCCTCTTAGCCTCATGGTATCGTGCTTCTAGGAGGAATCTATGGCTCATCACTGGAGACAGGATTCTGCTCCTTTCCCACAACACCCTCATGCTGGTTCCCATGCTGTGTCCTGCTCCTGCTTTCTGGAGGTGATTGGGAGTGGGCAGAGCAGGCAGGGGGCACCCTCAGGCCTCTGTGCCTCCTGGAACCTGGATATCTGGAGCCTGAGTGGGCATGAAGGGTGAGTAAGCCAGGGGACCTAGGACATGTTAGCTAACATAGAGCCTGGATCAAACACCAACCACCACCATTTGCCCCACTCCCTAATGGTTATAAACAAAACTCCCCTGTCTTCTGAGGTAGATTTCTCCATCTTCACTTCTTTGCCATATGGAAATGTAATTTAACTTTTAGATTTAAATCCAGTCGTGATGAATATCTCAGAATTTACAGTATTTACAATGTCAAGGAGGCGACACTTGTAAACATTTGGTTCAGAAATTGCTGGGGAGGCTTAGGCCTCTTTCCCTCTTGGTACCTGCTCAGCAGTAGCCTGTGTATTTATGGGCATAGGATGTGCCCGTAACTGGTGCCCACAGTGAACAAGCTAAAACCTGTCTGTCTGGTCTTGGGTGGGCTTCTTAAATGTCCTTGGGCTGAACTTAAATGCCCTTACCTGCAACCCCCACAGGACCACAGCCCATGGGCTGAAGCTCAGCTGAATTCCTCATATGCCTCCCTAGCTCATCCTAGTGAATGTGCCAGGGTCCAGAGGGAGAGGTCGGGCTGTGCCAGCTGTACTGCAGCCACATGGATCCCTAACCCACTTCAAGGCAATGTAGAATGGTGGTCAAGGGGATGGACTCCAGAGACAGTCTGGAGTGTGACGTTGGGCAAATCAGTCCATTTATCACTGTCTCGGTTTCCTTATCTAAGAAATGGAGACCCTCATAGTACCTACCTTTTAGGGTTGCTAGGAGACAGCACCTGGCACATAGTAAGAACTTACTACATGTTTGTGGTTTTTATGATTATTGTTATATAATTAGAAGAGTGACCAGACTGGCAGCAGAGGGTCCTCACTCCCAGGGGAGTGGGAAGAGGGAGAGAAGTGAAGTGTCTGAGGGCTGTAGAGTCTATACCTGGCAGAGCCTCAGGTAGTAGGTTTGCCACCTGGGGACCCTGGGTGGGGCCCAGGTAGCTTTCCTGGTTCTCAGGTCTTCACTCTTCAGACAGTGCTCTGAACCCCCCATGCACAGCCCAGAGCCTATTCTCTGCCTGCTTCCTTCTCCGCTACTGTCCCCACCCGATCTAACCTGAGATCTCTCTGAGCAGCTGATTCACGTGCTGCTCTTCCTACTCCCAAGGGTGAGGGCCAGCCCTGAACACCAGGGCTCCAGAGGGAGCCACAACACCGGGTAGCCTCAGGTTTCCTAAATTGCCTCTCTTGCTGCCCTCTCCACACCACCAGCTGTCTAAAAGCTCTTCTTGGTGTAGGCTGGAAGCATTTGGAGAAAGTCTACCATCCCCCCCACTTCCTTAATCCTATTACCACAGCTTATTTGCTCCCAGCTCTGTCCAGCTGCCTAACCTCAAGGAAGCCAACCGGTGATGGAAAAGTTGGCATAAAAATGAGAATGTAGGCCAGGCATGGTGGGTTACACCTATAATCCCAGCACTTGGGGAGGCTGAGGCAGGCAGATTGCTTGAGGCCAGGAGTTTGAGCCCATCCTGGGCAACACAGTGAGATCTTATCTCTACAAAAAATATAAAATTATCTGGGTATGATGACATACACCTGTGGTCTCAGCTACTTGGGACGCTGAGGTGGGAAGATCACTTGAGCCTGGGAGGTCAAAGCTGCAGTGAACCGAGATTGTGCCCAAAAAATAAATAAATAAGTAAATAAAATAAGAAAGGAAAAAGAGAAAGAATGTAGGGAGTGTGTCTCTGTCTTTGCACCACCCCCCTCCTGTAGAGATACACCTTGCTTTCTTTCTGCTGCTTATTCTTCCATTTGCCACCAGATTGAAGACCTATCAGAGACGAGTCATTCTCATGGATTGAATTCCTGAGCTCTGGCCTAAGCGGGCCTGAGTCAGGCAGAAGACGTCCTATCTGGTGTCGTCATTTTTTCTTCCCATCTCCCTCCAAACTTCTAGGCTCCTGTCTGTCCTGGGCCCGCAGTCCCATCCTTTCTGAGTCCTCTCCTTACTGTGTGCCCCTTTTTGATCTGAGTCTCATTCTCCCGCCCTCTCTCCCTCTCTCCTTTCTTGCCAGGGGTGAGAGGTGCCCCTGAAACCTCTGCCCAAGGATGTCTGCTATTCTGACTCATTTTGGAGTCCTGATGTTCAGAGCTGGCCCTTAACCTTGGGAGGAGAAAGAGAAAACGGCCCCTGGAGGGGTGTTCAGAAAATCTCAGATGAGATAGGTCTGGGTGGGGGACAATGAGGTAGACTGAGGCAGGCAGAGAATGGGCTTTGGGGTGTCAGATGGGGGAGTGAAGGGAGTCTGAGCAAGGGAAATTTTATGCAAGACTTCTATATAAAATATAGGTAATTAGTGTAGATGTTATGACAGTATCAGTTTGAGCTGTCTGCATGAATTCCTAAGAATACCAGAGAAACGGAAACCTTCAGAACTTGGAAGGATGTTGTAAACATGATATTGATTGAAGGCATTCATAGAGGATGCTGACCATGCAGAAGCGTCCACATGCATAGGCTCCATCATTCAAACCCTTAGTGTTTCCCACATGGGTTTTCTTTTGTATTTTATTTGAATGTCACATTCTGTTCTGCACATATATGTTTGTCCTGCAGTTGCTTGGTGCTGTGGACATCTACACACACCCTAAACATTTTATGAGGATTCTGTATGTGGTAGAGACAGTATCGTCTTAGACATGCGTTTGCCTCTGTTGGACTCAGTGGTCAGTTTGACCAGGCATAATGAAATGCTAAGAAAGCTAATTCATGCTACTGATTGTATAAAAAAAGCCAAATTCTTTACCTCTTGAAATATAACTTATCAAGTAGACTGAACACATGCATTGCTCTGGTAGGAAAATCAATTTTGGAAACTTGATTAACAGTCAGAGTGTCAGGGCTGTAAGGGAGCTCAGGGGTCATAGAGGAGTTCACTTTCTCATCAATTGGATGAGGAGAGGAAGTTAATAAGTAAATCCTTTTTCCAGGAACCTGAAATTCACATGAGAATAAAGGATTCCTGTTACAGTAGAAAACTACCCCCTAATATTTGGGTTTCTCAAGCTGACATTTCTTTATGCTGAGCTTCTGTAAAGTTGGACACCTCACTAACAGGTGCTTGGCTGCCTTCAATCCCTGTCCCCCAACCAGGTGTCGGTGTCAGAGGTCAAAGCAGTGGCTGAGATGCAGTTTGGGGAGCTCCTTGCTGCTGTGAGGAAGGCCCAGGCCAATGTGATGCTCTTTTTGGAGGAAAAGGAGCACGCTGCTCTGAGCCAGGCCAACGGCATCAAGACCCACCTGGAGTACAGGAGTGCCGAGATGGAGAAAAGCAAGCAAGAGCTGGAGAGGATGGCAGCCATCAGCAACACTGTCCAGTTCCTGGAGGTATGGGGAGTGAGGGAGCAGAGGCATCCCACAGCTGCACCTCAGAGTGCCCTTGCTGTGCTAGGCCCATGGCCATCTGTGAATGGAACTGTCTTTTGATAAATGGTGTGCACAGGAAGCTGTGGAACAGACAGAAGCAGATTCTTCATTCAGTAGAGTATAGGAGGGGGAGGGAGGGAGGACTGCTCAGAGCAGGGAAGCTTGAAGCAGGTCCTGGAAGATCAGTTGGTTCAATATGCAGTATGTTCCAGGTAGAGGGAACAACTTAGGCAAAGGCAGAGAGGTTTGAGGAAGCACAGCTGACTTGGGGAGCCAAGGTACTTTAACAAGGGTGGAGCCTGGAATGCTGGGTACAGAGTGATGAGGCTGGCATGGCCAGGCAGGTGTCTGGCTGGGAAGGGCTGCAGATGGGAAAGTGATGAGAGTCAATGAGTATGTTTTATAAACCACTCCAGCAGTCTGCTGCATGGAAGTTTGCTTGGTAGGGGTAACACTGGAGCCCGGGTGCTTTTCAGAGAGGGCTGTGGCTGGAGTACTTGAAGAAGGCTGGGAAGAGGAAATGCTTTTCATTACAATGTATCAAACCGCAAGCCACTGGAGCCCGATCTGAAGAACATGTAACCTTTCAGGAAAGGAACACTAGGTTGGGGGTAAACACCAATCTGTCACTAAACAGCTCTGCTCTTAACCTCTCTGGGTCTCAAATTTCTCATTTATCTGCAAGCCCACTGAAGTAAATATTTCAGAAGGCTCCATCCAAGCTCCAGTATTCTGAAATAGGATTCTTTTCTTGCTTGCATTTTTAAAAAATTCTCTGCTAGTTACAAAAAATAAATGTTTGTTGTTAAAAAAAAAAAACTTGGAAAATGCAAAAAAAGAGGGAAAAAATTATCCATAATCCCAATACACAAGTGCAACATAGTTAACTTCTGAATGAGTAAAAGAGAAGCTGAGAAAGACAAAAACACCAACAGTGTCCCTCTGTGCTTTTCAATATCAAAACAAAATACGAATAAGGGTTTGGCTTCCTGCCTCACAAGTTTCCCTCCAGATCTCCTACCCAAAAAGTGTATAAATTGGCCGGGTGCAGTGGCTCACGCCTGTAATCCCAGCACTTTGGGAGGCTGAGGCGGGTGGATCGTGAGGTCAGGAGTTCGAGACCATCCTGGCCAACATGGCAAAAACCTGTCTCTACGAAAAATACAAAAATTAGCTGAGCATGGTGGCATATGCCTGTAGTCCCAGCTACCCGGGAGGCTGAGGCAGGAGAATTGACCCAGGAAGCAGAGGTTGCAGTGAGCAAAGATCGTGCCACTGCACTCCAGCCTGGCGCCTGGCAACAGAGCAAGACTGTCTCAAAAAAAAAAAAAGTGTATAAATTTTTTTCTTCGTTTTCTTTTCTCCTTTTGTAACTTTATTTTTAACATAAAACGACTTTAATACCTAGAAAATAAATTTTAGTGTAAGATAACATATTTATTTATTTTGGTGAAAGATAACATTTCCCCCCAAATTGTTGGTTAGGCATTCTGCTACTTTTGTCATGTACAGAATATAGCATTAAAATATTGACTCACCCTCTATCAATTCTCTGATTTTTATTTCCATGGCCCTATCTAATCATTTTCATACAAGTGTTTTAATTGCTATGGTTTTGCTGTGTGTCCTGCTATACCTGCTGTGCTCTTTAATGCTTCAGTTGCAGCTGAAGTTTGATACTGTGTTACATGTGAAAGCATCCTTCCTGGTAACACATTGTTTTGAAACTTAGGTGAAACTATGATTATTTGTCTGAAAATACTTTGTAAATGCTAAAGCAGGTATAGGCATTACAGAAGTTTATGCATTGGATGAAACTGACAAGGAAGAGGTAGCACTCCTGTGTGAGAGCTCCTCCATTTCCTACCATGGCTTGTGTTTAAAAATTGTGAAAAAACAAGTACTGACGGAATGAACAAAGCAAGAATGTTCTTTATTTTTGGTTTTTGGTCCCCAGTCTGGACTGTGTATTGGAGCTATTCATGGTCATCTAGTACATCTTGATTTTTAAAAACCCACTTTCTCACTTGATTTTTAAAAATCCCACTTATTTCGAGGGCCTAACAGCTAGTGAAGAAGGGAAATAATAGCAATAATAGTAAAAACAAAACCTTATAATTTGTAGTTGCTACATAATAAATTTTGCTGTGTTGTATGCTGTTTAATATAAAACTTAACCCCCAGCTCTGTGTAAAATGAACTAACTCCCTGTAAAACTTACCTTATTTATTCTCCCCACATTCTCAGCGAAGTTCTCAGGCAAGAGACTCTTGTTTTTCTTGTTGACCAGGTGCAAGGACACAGGGCCAGATAACATCCAAAGAATGTACAATGTGTTTCTCAAAATGCTACTTTTCAAAGTAAAGTACATCACAGCATGTTGCAAATTAATTAACTGTTCTTTGTTCTGGCTTCAGGAAACCTGTTAGCTGCTACCTCCTCTCTCCAATGTCTAAAAAATACCCCATTTTCTTTCTCCTTTGCTCAGCCTTGGGATGCTAATCTGCTGAGCCAGTGGCCACCTTAATAAAATCCTCCTGTTTCACCCTTTGGTCTCTCCAGTCTCCTGAATATTCTGCAACATTAGAAAAGTGCTTTATATTTTGTTAGACCCTGAGCTTGAAATTTTACACGTACTTTCTCTGTGAAGGACACAATACTGTCAGCCCATTTTACAGATGTGAAAAGTGACTTAATGAAGAGAGAAATGTGATGTTAGAATACAGAAACCACAGCAAGTTCTGCTGTTTTCTTTTCTGCAGGAATACTGCAAGTTTAAGAATACTGAAGACATCACCTTCCCTAGTGTTTACATAGGGCTCAAGGATAAACTCTGGGGCATCCGCAAAGTCATCACGGACTCCACTGTACACTTAATCCAGTTGTTGGAGAACTATAAGGAAAAGCTCCAGGAGTTTGCCAAGGAAGGTGAGATGCTTTCTGGGCCATGGGCTATGGCGGGTATGTCTCTAGCAGTAGATGATAGGAAGGTGAGAGACAGGGAAGGGAGGATGACATCAGGGTGACTAACTCATTTTCTTTTTTTCTTTTTAAATTGAGACAGAGTCTCACTCTGTTGCCCAGGCTGGAGAGCAATGGCACAATTTTGGCTCATTGCAACCTCCACCTCCCAGGTTCAAGAGATTCTTCTGCCTCAGCCTCCCTAGTAGCTGGGATTACAGACACCTGTCCCCATGCCCAGCTGATTTTTGTATTTTTAGTAGAGACAGTAGAGATGGGGTTTCACCATGTTGGCCAGGCTGACCTCAAATAATCTGTCTGCCTCAGCCTCCCAAAGTGCTGGGATTACAGGCATGAGCCACCCGCCCAGCCTAATACCTCATTTTCAAAGCCATCCTTCCGACAGGCTGTGTTACTCATGGACTCTGTTCTTGATGATTTTATTCTACCATTGAGACCCAGAGAAGGTCAGTTAGTCATGCTTATATTATGCCATTGGCTGGCATTTCTATGACTAGCTTCTCAGGTTGCTGAGGCCTATACTTTTTAAGTTAAATCCAGGACAGTCTGGATCACTTTTTCAGTGGTTTCTGCCTTACCTCTGAAAGGACTGTAGTCGAACATATTTCTGTGAGACATTACTAGGCTTCAGCCCCTTCTTTCCCGAGGAAGCCCAGGGAAGCGTGGCTGGGAAGTCCTGATTCACAGATTCTCCTGACCACCTGCACAGGTGTCCATTCACAACTCTCTGATTTTCTAGAGGAGTATGACATCAGAACTCAAGTGTCTGCTGTTGTTCAGCGCAAATACTGGACTTCAAAACCTGAGCCCAGCACCAGGGAACAGTTTCTCCAATGTAAGTTGTGAACGCATCCCCTTCTCCAGTTGTCGGTATCACTTTGCAAAGTAAGACTGCCATCTCTCATACGGGTTTCAGGTTCTTGCAACTTCATGTCCATCCCTAAATGATATACTTCTTAAAATTTAACCATTTTTTTAACATTTCATTTTGAAATAATATGAAACTTACACAAATATTACAGAAATAGGACAAAGAATTCCCATATATGTTTCACTCAGTTTTTCCTAATGTGAACACTTTACATTAAGTACAATACACTGATCAAAACTAGGGAATTAACATCGCTACAATGCTATCAACAAATGTACAGAATTTATTCAGCTTTCACCAACTGTTTCATTAATGCTCTCTTTTTTTTTTTTTTTTTTTTGAGACGGAGTTTTCGCTCTTGTTACCCAGGCTGGAGTGCAATGGCGCGATCTCCGCTCACTGCAACCTCCGCCTCCTGGGTTCAGGCAATTCTCCTGCCTCAGCCTCCCGAGTAGCTGGGATTACAGGCACACGCCACCATGCCCAGCTAATTTTTTGTATTTTTAGTACAGACGGGGTTTCACCATGTTGACCAGGATGATCTCAATCTCTTGACCTCGTGATCTACCCGCCTCAGCCTCCCAAAGTGCTGGGATTACAGGCTTGAGCCACCACACCTGGCCTACATTAATGCTCTCTTTTCTGGCCGAAAGTCCAAAACAAGATCACAGATGTTTCCATGTCTCCTTAGTCCTCTTCAATCTGGATCAGTCATTCAATCTTTGTCTTTCATGACCATAGCACTTTGAAGAGTCCTGGCTAGTTACCAAGTGGTTCATTTCTATGTATGGCTTGGACAGAATCGCATAACTCATTAACCTGTCTCTAAGTGGTATTGACTTGGTCCATTAGCATTTTTAAAACACTGTAAAGTTGACCCTTGAACAACATGGGGGTTGGGATACTAATCCCTCATATAGTCGAAAATCCATGTGTAGCTTTTGATTCCTCAAGAACTTAATTAGTGATAGCTTTCTGTTAATCGACATAAACAGTCATTTAAAACATGTTTTGTATGTTTGCATATATAAACATGTAGACATATATATATGTATGTATGTATATTTTTTTAGACAGGGTCTCCATCTGCTCCCCATGTTGGACTGCAGTGGCTCCAGCATGGCTCCCATGATCAAGCAATCCTCCTCTGTCAGTCTCCTGAGTAGCTGGGACCACAAGCACATGCCACCACCTCTGGCGAATTAAAAAAAAAAAATTTTTTTTTTTAACAGTTGTAGAGATGGAGGCTTGCTATGTTGCCCAGGCTGGTCTCAAACTGTTGGCCTCAAGTGATTCTCTCCTCTCAGCTCCCCAAAGTGTTGGCATAAGCCTTTGTATCCAGTGTATCCAGCGAGAACTTTGTAAATTAGGGGATTTTTTTGGTTGCCCAGGCTGGAGTGCAGCAGCGTGATTTCGGCTCACTGCAACCTCTGCCTCCCTGGTTAAAGTGATTCTCCTGCCTCAGCCTCCCAAGTAGCTGGGGCTACAGGTGCGTGCCACTATGCTCAGCTAATTTTTTGTATTTTTAGCAGAGACAGAGTTTCATCATGTTGGCTAGGCTGGTCTCAATCTCCTGACCTCGTGATCCACCTGCCTCGGCCTCCCAAAGTGCTGGGATTACAGGTGTGAGCCATCACACCCAGCCAATTATGGGATTTTTAAATAGTCTTTAACGTGCTAATTCATTTGGTAAATATATACTGAGTATCTTCTCTGAGCTAGAGAAGAATCTTGTGCAAAATGTGGAGCTCATAGAGGGAGGACAAGCAGGAAACAAACACTCACATGAATATACTGTTATAAATGGGGAAGGGTGCCAAGTTTATAAAGTCATGGTGCTCTAAGAGAAAGCGATTTAGAGTTACAGAGGGCCTCTTCAAGGACATGGACTCTCAGCTGCAGCCTGAACAGATCAGTAGGAATCACCAGACTTAGAGTAGGGCATGATCGTGTCTCAGAGGGAACAGGCTGTGCCAAAAGCCCAAAGGGGGTGTTGAGTGCCGAGTAGGTCTGAGGTCAGCATGGCGGGAATGTAGTAATCAAGGGAGAGCGTCAGAGACACAGGAAAGGACTGGGGATGTGGCGCCTGGTAGGCCAGGGCAAGGGGTTGCTGCTTTATCGTAAGAGCAGAGGGTACCATGAAAGGGTTTTAAGCTAGAACAACATGACTGGCCTCAGCCTACAGCTTGAAACAAGCAGCATGGATCTGTTGTGGAGAAGGTCTTCAAGGGGGCAAGAGAGAGCAATGAATGACCAGTCAAGAACACATTGCACTAGTCCAAGTGACATGAGTGATGGCTTAGGTGGGGGGTAGAGCAGGGGTCCGGAGAGAAGTGGTAGAATCTACAGGAGTTGCTGTTGCCTGTGTGTGTGGTGAGGATGGGGGATGAGAATGATGGCAAAACAAATGTCAAAAATGATACAGAGCTTGACTTGAGCAATGGGGTGTATGAGATACTTTTATTCTTTGGGATTGAGATGGGAATATGAGGGCATGTTTGAGAGTTCATCATGCTCCATTTGATCCATCGGTTCACTTTTAAGATATTGGTCAAATATTTTTTAAAATGAATGAATGGATCAAATGTGGGAATAAGAGTACCTGCTTCCTCAAATACTTTAAATACATGTTTGTTGACTGACTGAATGAATGAGTAAATTAATCTATTCCTTGATTCAGTTCATCAAATGATTTCATCAATGTCAAGCAATTTGAGCTTCATAAGGGAAATCTTCCTAAGACTTTCTTGAGTATTATCCTTGTTGATAAATACATTGATGAGATTAGGACCACTCAGCTCTTTTCCTAGGGAAATAGCCGCCTGGGTAAATAGAGAACAGAGAAATGGATGCTTTCTTACATGTGCTTTGGAGGCCAGCTGTGTTTAAAGTGTTCGTCTGAATCAGCTGTCAATTCCTGAACCATTCTGCCTTCTGCGTCTCCCCAGATGCACACGACATCACGTTCGATCCGGACACAGCACACAGGTATCTCCGGCTGCAGGAGGGCAACCGCAAAGTCACCAACACCACACCTTGGGAGCATCCCTACCCGGACCTCCCCAGCAGGTTCCTGCACTGGCGGCAGGTGCTGTCCCAGCAGAGTCTGTACCTGCACAGTTACTATTTTGAGGTGGAGATCTTCGGGGCAGGCACCTATGTTGGCCTGACCTGCAAAGGCATCGACCGGAAAGGAGAGGAGCGCAACAGTTGCATTTCCGGGAACAACTTCTCCTGGAGCCTCCAATGGAACGGGAAGGAGTTCACGGCCTGGCACAGTGACATGGAGACCCCGCTCAACTCCGGCCCTTTCCGGAGGCTCGGAGTCTATGTCGACTTCCCAGGAGGGATCCTTTCCTTCTATGGTGTAGAGTATGATGCCATGACTCTGGTTCACAAGTTCGCCTGCCAGTTTTCAGAACCAGTCTATGCTGCCTTCTGGCTTTCCAAGAAGGAAAACACCATCCGGATTGTGGATCTGGGAGAGGAACCCGAGAAGCCAGCCCCGTCCTCGGTGGAGACTGCTTCCTAGCCTACAGGAACCGTATGCCAGGCCTTTGCTAGCCATAGTGATGGCATTTGCATTTTAGGGTGATTTGTGGGCAGAAATAACTGCCAATGGCAGCAGGCTTTTGAAATCCTATGCGTCTCTGAACGAGAAGATTCTCCAGCTGCTCTCTTTTGCTCCATACGGTGCTGTTCTTTATGTGTTTGTAGTAATTCTTTTTTTCCTTTTATTGAGAGTCTCGCACTGTTGCCTGGTCTGGAGTGCAGTGGCGTGATCTCGGCTCACTGCAACCTCCACCTCCCAAGTTCAAGTGATTCTTCTGTCTCAGCCACCGAGTAGCTGGGATTACAGGAGCCTGCCACCACGCCCAGCTAATTTTTTGTATTTTTTAGTAGAGACACGGTTTCACCATGTTGGCCAGGCTGGTCTTGAACTCCTGACCTCGTGATTCACCCTCCTCAGCCTCCCAAAGTGCTGGGATTACGGGTGTGAGCCATGCCTGGCCTGTTTGTAGTAATCTTAGGCACCAAGTCTCCCTCGTCTCCTAGTACCAGTCTCCTGTCTGCTCAGGTAAATGTCACATTGTGCCCAGAATGGATGACCAGGAATCTTCAGAGTGGCTGAGAAGATTGTAGAGTTACCATAATAACTTGAGAACTTGGGTATTTCCTATGTGCCAGACACTGTTCCTTGTGCTTCCTGCACATTAACTCACTTCATCATCATAGAAGATTCATGGGGTAGATGCTTATATCATCCTTATTTTGGAGATGGAGAAACCGAGGTCCAGGGCAGTTAGCTGACTTGTTCATGGTCACTCTGGACACATGGTCAGTGAGTAGCAGAGCTGAGATTCAAGTCTGGGTAGAATGACACTGGACTTTTAACCACCACATCATATTGCCTTCCTTATTAGATCATGGACATTGTATAGAAGGGAGTAATGTGCATAGCAGAGAAATAGAGCATCTGAAACCCACGTCTTTGGTGAGTTTGCAGATCCACATACAACATCTGACTCGGCCCGTGCTGCCATGCACTGCCTCACTGCCTCACTGCCCCACTACCTCCCACAGCAGTGCTTTCTGTTTTGGGACAGCAAGGATTAGAAGAAATGTCTTAATAGAGTCTTAATCCCTGTGACCTCTGGGAAGGGGCCCTACTCCTCTTCTCTAAAGTAACCTGGAGTATGTGGACTTGTGTGACTTCTCATTCAAAGAATGGTTCTTCAAGAACTCACGTAACCCCCACACCCCTGGTTTTCTTGTTTTCATATTAAATTTCTCCCCTTCCTTTATGGTTCTCAGTCCTTTGCCCCTCATTATTTCATCTTCTTTTGACAGATGAGCTTCCTAAGATTAATCACAAGCATTTATCAAGCTTTTTTTTTTTTTTTTTTGAGACGGAGTTTCACTCTTGTTACCCAGGCTGGAGTGCAATGGCGCCATCTCGGCTCACTGCAACCTCCGCCTCCTGAGTTCAGGCAATTCTCCTGCCTCAGCCTCCTGAGTAGCTGGGATTACAGGCACGCGCCACCATGCCCAGCTAATTTTTTGTATTTTTAGTAGAGACGGGGTTTCACCATGTTGACCGGGATGGTCTCGATCTCTTGACCTTGTGATCCACCCGCCTCGGCCTCCCAAAGTGCTGGGATTACAGGCTTGAGCCACCGCGCCCGGCCAAGCTTTTAAGCAAATAACAAACTGTCTTTAAATGGGTTTCCGAGGCTATAACCTGAAGTCTCTGGTGGGATTCACCAGATATATAACTTTTGAGTCAGTTCCTGTGACCTCTGTCAAGGCAAATCTCTTTTTCTTCAATCAGTCTGATTGGCCTGTCTCAAGAGTATATTACTTGAGAATAACAAGACTTGTATCTATGTTTGTATCTAAGGATATATACAGTGTGAGATTTAAAATGATTTTACTTTAATTTCATTACATGATTGCTTCATGCTAAGATACTTTCAATTCATGATTCCTCATACAGTATATTCCCTCTCCTTCCTAGCTTAGGAATATACTTCATCTGCACAATCGGTAACCCTTTCTTCTTCTTTTTTTTTTTTTTGAAATGGAGTCTTACTCTGTCACCAGGCTGGAGTGCAGTGGCATGATCTTGGCTCACTGCAACCTCCACCCCCAGGTTCAAGTGATCTTTGATATGCTATGTCAGATATACCTTCTGAGTAGCTGGGATTTCAGGCGTGTGCCACCATGCCTGGCTAATATTTGTATTTTTAGTAGATACAGGGTTTCACCATGTTGGCCAGGATGGTCTCAATCTCCTGACCTCGTGATCTGCATGCCTTGGCCTCTCAAAGTGCTGGGATTACAGGTGTGAGCCACCGTACCCGACCAGTGCTTTTTTCTTAAGTCTTATCCTGTTGATAAATCTATTGATGAGTTTAGGACCAAATCTAGAATCTTGTGACACTCAGTCAGTAGCTTCTAGGTTTAGTTATATACAAATTATGTATGAGTGGGCTGGGCGCGGTGGCTCATACCTGTAATCCCAGTACTTTGGGAGGCTGAGGTGGACAGATCACAAGGTCAGGAGATCGAGACCATCCTGACCAACATGTTAAAACCCCATTTCTACTAAAAATCCAAAAAAAATTAGCTGGTGCATGCCTGCAGTCCCAACTACTTGGGAGGCTGAGACGGGAGAATTGCTTGAACCCAGGAGGCAGAGATTGTAGTGAGCCAAGACTCTGCCACTGCACTATAGCCTGGGTGATAGTGTGAGACTCCATCTCAAAAAACAAAAAACAAACAAAAAACGTGTGTGTGTGTGTGTGTGTATGTGTGTATATATATATACATATGTGTATATGTGTGTGTGTATATATATATATATATATATATATATATATATATATATACACACACACACATGCATGGGTGTAACTGCAATAATGTTAGCCCCCACCCTTTTCACATTTATCCACTGATCATGATGAAAGACATTTTCATGTGGCAGAAATCAAGTTTTGGTCTGAAAACTGAAAATTGCCTAAAACAAATAAAAAATAAGGAAAGAAAACATAGAACAAGGGCTTGTTTTAGGCAGGGCATGATGGCTTATATAAGTCTATAATCCCTGCACTTTAGGAGGCCAAGGCAGGTGGATCACCTGAGGTCAGGAGTTCGAGACCAGCCTGACCAACATGGTGAAACTCTTGACTCTACTAGAAATGCAAAAATTAGCTAGGCATGGTGGTGCATGCCTATAATCCCAGCTACCTGGAAGGCTAAGGCAGGAGAATCACTTGAACCCAGAAGGTAAAGATTTAAGTGAGCTGAGATCGTGCCACTGCACTCCAGCCTGAGTGACAGAGCAAAATTTCATCTCAAAAAAAAAAAAAAAAAAAAAGATATGCTATGTCTGAATTTCTTTGATCTACCTGTCTAATCATGATCTCAAAAGACAAATTGAGATCAGCTCCGACTACTTCATTTTCTTGAACCCCTGCTGGTTGTTGGTGCTTGGTCATTTTCTTTTCTAAATGCTCACAAAACATTTGATAAACCACTTTAGAATTCTGTTGTGGGTTAATATCATGTTTACAAGTCTGTTGTTTCCAGAATCTATCTTATTTTTCTTTTAAAAACATCAAGATAATTTTGCCTGCCTTCATTTGATGCAGTTTGCTTATTTGTCCCCTCCAAATCTTATGTAGAAATTTGATGTCTCAGGGCCGAGTGCAGTGGCTCATGCCTGTAATTCCAGCAGTTCGGGAGGATGAGCTGGGCAGATCACAAGGTCAGGAGTTTGAGGCCAGCCTGGCCAATGTGGTGAAACCCATCTCTACTAAAAATACAAAAATTAGCTGGATGTGATGGCGAATACCTGTAGTCCCAGCTACTTGGGAGACTAAGGCAGGAGAATCACTGGAACAATCAGAGGTTGCAGTGAGCTGAGATCGCTACTGCACTCCAGCCTGGGCAACAGAGCGAGACTCTGTCTCAAAAAAGAAACAGAAATTTGAAAATTTGATGTCACATGTTGGAGGTGAAGCCAGGTGGGAGGCGTTTGGATGATGGGGGTGGATCCGTCATGAATGGCCATGAAGACACCATGCTTCTTGTACAGCCTGCATAAGACAAATCAACTTCTTTTCTTTATAAATTACCCAGCCTCAGGTATTCCTTTATAGCAACACGAAGGGACTAGACCACTGTCCTCTATCATTCTCCCTAGTTTCTCAGAGATTCCCACCTGATTTGCAGTCACGTCATTAAATTGTGTCAGCGTCCTGAAATGTAATTTATTCAGGCCAGAATACCTGAGCTCATATGAAAGGAACCATTTAGATTGTCTCCTTAACTTGTCTTGGATTTCGTTTTCCTGTTAACTCTTTTTGTCTATTAGTTTTCAAGTTCAAGAGCCTTCTTAATATAAAAGATAAAAGCAAAAAAGAGTTGGGTATATTGTTTTCTGTCATCGCCTCAAGCACTGGGCATGTCTTTTTTCTTTTTCTTGGTCTTAAAAACTGAAAATGGCCTAAAACAAATAAAAAATAAGGAAAGAAAAAATAGAACAAGGGCTTGTTTTATATTCTCTGGCATTTTCCTTAGCTGTGTGTGTGTGTGCCACTCTTTTGTATTTACACATCCTAATCTCCTCTTTAATTAAGTAGACTTATTTAAAAAAATAAATAAACCAAACAAAAATCTGAATTCACCAACAGCTTACTTTGGTGCCATATGGTTCTGTTACATTACCATACCATTTGTGATTGCAGAGTCAGAATGTAATTTTAACCACCACGTCCATAATGCATTCTTATCTCAACTCTTTGAAATCTGCATGCATACAGCATTCATTTCTGAGTATCTTATGAATTATGAATAAATCCCCACTTTCTCCCAAGATGCATGATAAAGTGATAACATAATGGTATTGGCCCAATCACGGAGCTTTTATCTCCCCGATCTGGCTCAGCATGTTTTTGGAATGACATCCCTAGTTTAAGTAGATTCAATATACGTGGCATTTATAATGTGCAAGCTTCTGTGCTAGGCGCTAAGAAAGAGTAACCCAGAAACTAAGTAGCTGTGTCATTTGATCATAAGAAGGGGATTTAAACTGAAGTAAAAGTGTTCATACGTGAAGAGCTAAATAAATTTGCTCTTCAAGACAATAATAGACAAGGTGATATACGAAACGGGTTTCTCACACTGTGTCCCGGCGTGCTGCTTCATTTTCTCAGGCCGTCTTCAGGGACTGGCTTCTGTCTTGTGTCCTTGAGTGACCTTCTCCCTGGTTGCTCCCTATCTCTGCAGCGACTGGCTCCATTCCAGGGGCCACCACTCCAGCCGCAGATGGGAGATGGAAGGAAAGGTGGTGCATATACTTCCTGCTTCTCTTGGCTTCCTCAGATTTCAGCACCGACTCCCTCCCTCTGCACTTGTGAGTAGACATCTTGGTGGCTGGGGAGGAGGCCCTTGCAGGGCAGTCTGTGGTTCATATGCCCCCAATATGTCCATGCAGGGCACAGACTGCACATGGCTCAGGTCGAGTGTTGGCCATGCCTGCTTTGCTGGGATATGCCTAGTTTTTTCTCTATTTCTGGCTTGTTGGGAAAATCCCACTGTCTCCCAGAAGGAGGGAGGGAGGTCAAGTACTGGAAAAGAAGAGAGAACAGATCATTTCACAGGGACCAAAGGTCAATACAGCAGTGGTCAGACATTTTAGGTGAAAATGCTTCCCCTCACATTAATAACTTAAGTAGTGACCCTGAATTACCTGAAAGAAGGTGTGTGTATATGTGCATGCACTGGTTTCTCATGAACAAAAGCTTTTTAAAATTTAACTTTGCCAACAAGTGTAATACTGCATGATGGGAAGGGGACAGATGAGACATCACACTTTTCCCCAGACTCCCTAATGATACTAATAATACTTGTTAGCTCTTTACATGGTGTAAAAGTCGACTCATTTGACCCTGACAGCCACCTATGAGCTGGGTGGGCCTGTGGTCTCTATTTTATGGAAGAGGAACAAGCTGAGAGCGGCAAGTGAATTATCCAGGGGTAAGAAGCTGCTCTGCAGCAAAGCCCAGTTCATTCCTTGCCTTCCTACTCTGAAACCTGCATGCTTTCCCGAATCCCTGCTGGCTGGCCAGGGCAGGTGGCAGTTGAGGAAGGCAGAGGGGCTGGGCTGCAGCCAGCAGAGGGTCAGGTCCTCTGGTGAAGTGTCAGGTGCGACAGCAAAGCTAGATGGGTGTGACATATTATCCCCTACCCAGCCCAGCAGTGGCTGCACCTTCCAAGGGTCTCGGTACCATGTGGGAAGGCAGGAAAAGCAAGTGGAAATTTAGGTTTGTGTGCTGAGGGGGTTTCAGCAGGATCATGAATAAAACAGGGCAGAAGGGGAAGGTAGGGGACTGGCATGAAGCCTCCAGACTGCTCATAGCCTGAATACTTGAGAGGTCTCAGATGCCCTTCTCATCCTAAAGCATTCCTCTGAGAAGTGCTCTTCCCCACTGGACTCCTGTGAGTCACTCTGATGAGGCCTGTTTGCCCACCTGCCTCTCTAAGTACCACTGGCACCATGTCCCCACATTGGTCTGTCCCATCTAGCCCATCTGCCTTGCCCTGTGCCAAGGCCACATTTTTAACTCTAAAATCAGTGTATGGCCCAGCCTCTAAAAGGTACAGGCCAGCAGGTGGCAGGGAGGCAGGCAGGGAGGCGCTGCCCGCTCGCACTCTCTTGCTCTGGAGCACCCCTTGTCCCTCTGTTCTCAGGAGATGGTCCCTTATCATATTCTCCAAGAAGCTGTTTAGGAAAGGAGGTGCAGAGTGTGGCAACAACCTACTATGGTCCACAGCTGTTTAAGGAGAACCATGTGTGTGCAGTATTAAGGGAGAGGGGATGGAAACAAACCACGACTGATGTGTGAAACTTAGTCTCTCACTCTGACTCCCAAGTTTGTGACCCTGAAATGTGGAATAAAGACTGAGTTGGGTGGTTGAAACTGCTTGCTTGAGGAATGTCAGCCTCATAGGTTAAAACCCAAATTTATTTAAACCTTTAAAAACAAGCTATTTATAATGTGTCATTATAAATAAACAAGTTAATTAAGGAAAAAGAAAAGAGCTACTTTTAGTTTACAGCACTTCTGAGCATAAATGGACTCACCTTACAGATTCAAAGAGTCTGCTTCGGGCCTCCCTTCTCTTTGCCACCATCCTTTGTCTGGTCTTCCTGATTAATTATATATTAATCTACGCTCGCCTTTTCTCCAGATTGCTCTTTAGACAGAAGAGGTAGAGTTGTGAGAACTGGTCTCATTTCTAACTGATTCCTATCCTGCATTCTGACTCTAATCTGTGACTGCCATCACCAACCAAACCCCAGCAATGGACTCCATTACTTTTCTCTGGTTGTGCCTAGTCTCCTGACCTGGGCATTAGAAAGGCACACGATATTGCAAACCTTTGGGTTTTATCTATGTTAGTAATACTTTAGTAACAGTAACAATAGCATCAACAACTGATCTCATATTTAATGCAATCCTAGAAGGTAGTTATCATTTTCTTATCCATCTTTATCTTCCCCATCCTCATAACTATGATGGAGACACTGAGGCTCAAGAGAGGACAGGTTGCTTGCTCAAGACCGTATAGCTCCTAAGTACCAGAGTCCATGTTTGAACCTAGTCCTGCCTGAAGTAGGAGAATTATCTCAGCGTGACTTTGAAACTCTTTCTGTGAGCTGCCCAATATTTTTTGCCTGAGAACTTTGACTGCAGTGAGATTTCTGGTTAGTATTCTGAAGCAGTTAAATAAATTATATTAAACATTTCTGGTTTTACTTTGATGATGACTTTAGAAAATGAATATAAACATATTTAGCATCATTGGGACAGCCACCTTGTAACCGAACAGATATAAGAAGTTTGCATTTTTTCTTATATTCATGAATATTCAGAAGCCATTAATAACAATAATTAAAGCACAATATCATTAATAGTCCATATATTATTTAAATTTGACTAACGGTATTCTTGTTTTTCTAGAAATGAGATGACCAGCTCTTTCAGAATATACAGCAACTGCCTCCACATAAAGCAGTGCCAGGTTTAGGAGATTTACGGTAAACCCATGTTTCCAAGGAGGTCTGTACAGAAAGCCAGACTTCTACTGGCAGTTTCTGGGACAGATACGCTTTCCATCCATGGCGGCCATTTACTTTTGATCTGGGAGACATTTATACTAGAAAAGGCACAAGTGGGGTATTACTTGTTTCCCTCCTTTCCTCTATTGTTTGGTGGCATTGCCGTTGCAAGTAGGCAGGGCTAAAATGAACTGGTTACCTCAGGATCATGGAAAACCTGGAATCAAGGCTCAAGAATGCCCCCTATTTTCGTTGTGAGAAGGGAAACGATTCCATCTCCATATGCCAGAAGTGTGAGACGTGTGTCTTAGCCTGGAAGGTCTTCTCTACCAAAGAGTGGTTCCGCAGGATCAATGACCTATCTCAGAGGAGGTTTCTAGTTAGCATTTTGAGGCAGTTAAATAGCTTATATTTGTTACACTATTTCCAAAATATCCTTCAGAGCACACAGGGAAAGGATTTCATCTATAACAGGTCCCGGATCAATCTCAGCACGAAGGAGGGGAAAGTCGCTAAGTCCCCCTTGAACCAAATGTTGGATAAAACAGTAGAACAGAAGATGAAGGAGCTCTTGGACTGGTTTGGGAACAGCACCCACTGGACCAAGGCGAATTATACTCTCTTACTGCTGCAGATGTGCAACCCCAAATTGCTGCTCACTGCTGCCAACGTGATCAGAGTCCTGTTTCTGAGAGAACAGAACAATATCTCAGGTAAACAAGGCCACAGGCAAGACCAGAGGGCCCCCAAAGACCAGAAAGCCAGACTTCAGAAATCTGTGAGGAACTGCAGTTGTAGACAGCTTAGGCAAACGGAGTGCACAGAATACAGCATAGGTTCTTTGAATTGACACCTTGTCCTGACACCCGATCCTGTTTACCAAAAGAGAAATGACTGAATGTAACTTCCTTCTTGAAATTGATAAATGCAGGAGGAAGTGCAGAACTTTTAACTGTCAAGCATTTATAATGGATTGCTGCATCTCATAGGCCCAGAAATGGCTGGTCCCTGCCTCTGACCCCTTAATGCTGGTGTCGTTCCTGCTTTAGGGATGGGACTGGGCTTGAGAGGATTGTAAAGGGGAAGCTGATCAATTATTTTGCTCTTCAACTGCCCTGCACAAAAACCAGGGCAAGAAGTCAAAACTCGGAGCTTTTGTTTCATTCACTCCACTATGTTCCTTGCTTATCCATGACATCAAACCTTGAAGTAGAGTTTCTCCAAGGCTGGAGATAGCTTAAGGGCCAAATAAGCCTAGGGTGGTAGTTTTATAACTGTGGCTTGTATCAGGATCTCCAGCAGGACCTGTTAAAACAAGCTTCTCCCCCAGAACTTCGGACTCAGCAGGTCTGAGGTGGGCCTGGGATTCTGTATTTCTAACTAACAAGTTTCCAGCTAGTGATGATGTTGCTGGTCTGGGGAGCTCTCTTTGAGAATCACAAGCCTAGGGTGTTAGAGAATCCCGGAAGTGTTTGGCCAGCTAGTTCAGGGAAGCAAAGGAAACCATAAGATTGGTGTCTGTTTTGCTTTGCTACAAAGGAATACCTGAGGCTGAGTAATTTATAAGGAAATGTATAAGTAATTTATAAGGAAAAGAGGTTTATTTGGCTTGCAGTTCTGCAGCTTGTACCAGAAGCACGGCACCAGCATCTCTTTCTGGTGAGGGCTTCAGGAAGCTTCCACTCATGGTGGAATGCCAGGGGAATCATGTATCATGCGGTAAGAGAAGCAGCAAGACAGGGGGAGGGGTGCCAGGCTCTTTTAAACAGCAGTCTCTTTTAAATAGCCGGCTCTTGCTTGAACTGTATTAACGGAGTGAGAACTCACTGTGGGAAGGGCACTAAGCCATTCATGAGGGCTCTGCCCCCATGGCCTCACCTCCAACATTGGGGGGGTCACATTTCAACATGAGATCTGGAGGGGACAAATATCCACACTGTATTAGGAGGCAAGACACTTGAACTTTGGAGGGGTCCAGGAGTGGAAGGTCCAGTGTGGGGAAGCTCGGATTTAGGCAGGAGTGGGACAAAGCTGGGAGGCGGTGGTCACATGGAGGAGTTTTGGAGTTTTAGCTCTTGAAGGTGCGTAATTCCTGTCCCCAAGGAGACCTGAGAGGTGGTCATATTTGTAGACTAATGGAATTCAAAAGAATTTTAAAGCCAGACGACCTAGGATGCAATTAGATCACGATGTATGTCACTTGATTTATTTGGTGTGTCGGGGTATAAAAGAATGATAATATAGAATGAAGACAGTGAATCCCAGGGTATCGAAAACAGTATAAGTTAGATTGGAGATCAACCAGTCCGATTCCTTAATTTTTACAGAAAGAGACCAAAGTCCAGGGCATCTGAGTGACTTTGCTTAGGTCACCCACCACATAGGATGCAAAGGAGGATCCCCTCCTGAGCCCCTTCCACTCTGGAGGGCCGCCAGCGGTGGAGGGCCTGGCTTGTAGGCACAGGTGCAGTACTCCAGGTGCTCTTTTAAGAGCTTCATCACGCACCGTAGGAATGGGCTATTTATACTGAAGTTTTATAAGACCTGTTACAGGGATGGCAACCATCTCTTTTCTTAGATCACATTTGCTCTTTTTTTTTTTTTTTTTTTTTGAGATGGAGTTTCGCTCTTGTTACCCAGGCTGGAGTGCAATGGCGCGATCTCGGCTCACCGCAACCTCCGCCTCCTGGGTTCAGGCAATTCTCCTGCCTCAGCCTCCTGAGTAGCTGGGATTACAGGCACACGCCACCATGCCCAGCTAATTTTTTGTGTTTTTAGTAGAGACGGGGTTTCACCATGTTGACCAGGATGGTCTTGATCTCTTGACCTCGTGATCCACCCGCCTCAGCCTCCCAAAGTGCTGGGATTACAGGCTTGAGCCACCGCGCCCGGCGGCACATTCGCTCTTAAAAAGTTAAGTGTTCTGGCCAGGTGCGGTGGCTTATGCCTGTAATCTCAGCACTTTGGGAGGCCAAGGCAGGCAGATCACCTGAGGTCAGGAGTTCAAGACCAACCCAACCAACATGGTGAAACCCTATCTCTACTAAAGATACAAAAATAGACTGGGCGTGGCGGTAAGCACCTGTAGTCCCAGCTACTTGGGAGGCTGAGGCAGGAGAGTCACTTGCACCAGGGAGGCAGAGGTTGCAGTGAGCCAAGATTGCACCATTGCACTCCATCTTGGGCAATAAGAGGAAAACTTGGTCTCAAAAAAAAAAAAAAAAAGTTAAATGTTCTCATTTGACTTGAGGGTGGTTATTTCTATCAATGAAGAAAATTCAGTATGAGCTTCCAAAGAGCATTCCCTGTTGCAATTCCTGACCTCGACTCACTCACTCTGTCTGTCTCTCTCTCTCTTCTTGTATACACAGCTCAATAAATTTTAGACTGGAGGTGGACTGAAAAGCTAACAGGAAGCTTTCTGAGATTTTTGCTTAGAAGTTTGGAGGCCACAAATAAAAATAGACGTAACAGCCTTGGTCCATACAGTGCATTTTTAAAAGAAGGAAGAAAACATGTAACCGTTTCTCTCCACCTCATTTTCCTCAACACACCTGCTTCAAGAGCAACCTTGCCTTCCTGTTTTATTTTCCAGGGCTCAATCAAGACATCACAGATGTGTGTTTTTCCCCCGAGAAAGACCACAGCTCCAAGTCTGCGACCTCGCAAGTCTATTGGACGGCCAAAACTCAGCACACGTCCTTTCCTTCATCCAAAGCCCTAGAAAATGAACACTTGCTTGGGGCAGCATCTACCCCGGGTAAGTCCATTTTTAGCAAGAAAGACAATATGAAACCATTATGAGAATGGGAAGTCCCAGTGGAGCTGAAGGGGCTGGCAGGATGATAGCATCTGGGGATGGCAGATTTAAGGACCTCACATTCATTTAGCACCTGCAATGTGTTGGGCTCTTTACTTCCCTATCTAATTCTCACAGCTGATGGGGGGGGAGGAGCAAGGATTAAAATTGATCAGTATGGCCCCAAAGCGGTATTTTCACCTTTCCACTGCAGTGCCTGCAAGAGACATCTGACAATAGAGATCAGAAAGGAAACTGTCAGTGGTTTCCTCTGGAGTCTTTCTCTGCTCTGGGCCACAATCCGTCATCTAGCCTCTGGGCTCAGGCGTGGTGGGCAGCTCTAGAATTAAACCCATCAGTGGCTATTTTTGCAGTATTGGATTCAGTTTTGAGGAGGGAAAAAAATTAATGGGGAATTTGGTTCCCAACCTCATGGTACTCCTAAGTTGGGTTTTGCAGCAACACATATACATAAAATATCATAGGAGACTCAATATTATAGGAAATACAAGGCATAGATTCTAAAACACTCTTTATATGGAAAATTTCAAATTTCCTAAGTATGGAAAACAGTATAATAACTACCCACATAGCACTGGTTTCAATAGTTATCAACATTTTACCAATTTTATTTCATTCCGTTCATCCCTGCTTTCTTTCTTTCTTTCTTTTCTTTTCTTTTTTCTTTCTTTCTTTTTTTTTTTTTTTTGAGATGGAGTTTCACTCTTATTGCTCAGGCTGGAGTGCAATGGCACAAACTCGGCTCACTGCAACCTCCGCCTCCCGAGTTCAAGTGACTCCCCTGCCTCAGCCTCCCGAGTAGCTGGGACTACAGGCATGTGCCACCACACCTGACTAATTTTATATTTTTAGTAGAGACAGGGTTTCTCCATGTTGGTCAGGTTGGTCCCAAACTCCTGACCTCAGGTGATCCGCCTGCTTTGACCTCCCAAAGTGCTCGGACTACAGGCGTGAGCCACCATGTCCAGCCTCCCCCTTTCTTAAACTGATTGAAGTTTTTTCTTGTTGGAGTATTTTTAAGAAAATTCCAGATACGATGTCATTTCAGACTCTGATACTATAGACTTCTCTTTGTGCTGAAAAGTACCCGTATATTTGGATCAAAAGGTTCTATTCTCATGCGGCAGAAGAGATGACAAAAATCTAGTGGCCTAAGGGTAGACTCTGAGGAGGTTTATTTTGCGGGAGAGCTTTTGGTGAGGACTTGTTCTTGGCCTGGAGTTTCTACAAAGCCAACTCAACCACATACCTTTCTCTGGCTTTACTCTAGAGGGACCGTCGAGGCGTTCACTCCAGTGTATTTCCGAGATGAACTGGCTGTTTTCTGAAAAAGGAGACCTCACTGAGCCAGGGTTCGATCCCTGCAGTCTGTTGGTTGACCTGGATGACATCAGAGACCTGTCTTCTGGGTTCAGCAAATACCGAGACTTTATCCGTTACCTGCCCATCCACCTCTCCAAGTACATTCTAAGTATGCTGGGCCGTATGAGGGCATTTCTCAGACACCTCCCATCTTGGCCCAGTTCTGGGGTTTCTGGATCCATCTTTTTTCTTTTTTCCAGGAATGCTGGATAGACACACCCTGAACAAATGTGCCTCTGTGAGCCAGCACTGGGCCGCACTGGCTCAACAGGTCAAGGTGGAATTGTCAGCGCACGGCTTCATTCAGAACCAGATTGCCTTCTTGCAGGTACTGCCTGCAAGTCTGAGAGGGGACTGTCTGAGACCAGCTTCATTTTTGTGTTGAGATTGACTGCGAACCTTTCAGTGAACCCTTAGCTGGCCTCCTGCTCTACATTTGTGGCCTTTTAGGCTTCATGGGTCCCTTCCTTTTGGTCCAAACTCCTGTCGATAACTGAGTACTTTCATTGTCAGTGCATCTCACAAGGACAACAGGAATAGAGACTGCTCAGGAGCAGAGAGGCAGCCTTTCCAAAACCTCACAAAGCAGAGAACCCGAGCCCCCCGGGAGTTATATCACAGCTTACGCAGCAAGAAAGCCATAATTCTGTTTCCGCATCAGCCTCATATGGAACACAGATGTTTCTAAGGCTGCAAAGTACTTCTTAAGTTAAAATGCAATTTTCCCAAATGGCAATCTACTCTGGCCTTTTTACTTCTGTTTCTTGCCAGAAGCCTCACCCTAAACCATGGATTTTGGTAGCTTAGGGTTTTTGTTTTTGTTTTTTCCCAGCAGAGAGAGTCGACAGAGGACGAGAAACAGCAGATATGGTGAGGCCGGCGATAGTCTGACCACCTTTGCTGATCTCCCTGTGGCATTTGATGCTTATTTTCTCCTCCATTCGGTCTACACACAGTGCCGGGGAACCAGCCAGGTCTGGGCCTGCCTGCCACAGCCAGGGCTTACCTGTCCTTCAGATTTTGCCAAGAACTAGTTTTCCCTTCCTCTTGCAGAATTGGAACTCACAGTAGCCATTTTCTGTGTTTATTTTATTTATTTATTTATTTTTGGTCATTTTCCAGGGGTCCTGCACAAGAGGAATTGATCCTAATTACGCCAGTAAAGTTTCTATCCCAGTTCCTAATATGGTCGATGACGGGAAGCGGGTGCGTGTGAAACCTCAGAAGTGGAAGCTGAGAACGAAGGTGGGTTCCTGCGACATCTGGGGCAAGCAGCTGTGTCTCATTCGAATCGGCCATTGAAGGCTGAGGTCCAGACTCAGCCCTGGAGTAAGAACAGAGGATCACGGCAGATGACATTCCCTAAGGAAGACCGGAGTTCTGTGTTGCTACTGACTTGCAAGTCCCTTCTTCTTAAGCCTTGCTTTCCTCATCTGTTGGATGGGTAGATCGATTTGATTGTCCTCCCACGGTTCTTCCTTACTTCAAAGCCCACGGCCATGTTCTGCGTCCATGGCACCAGGTCATTTGGTGGCAAGTTCAGAGGCCGGGAGCAACCCCATCAGCTTCCCGTGCCTCTGGAGGCTCCAGAATCTGCTGCTCAGGAATTCGAGGAAGATCTGAGGGGAGGGCCAGGGCTGGTTCCAGATGCCTAGGGCCTGGATGAATTTGGTTTCCTCATCCCTCACTTCCAGGTTCATTCTGGCTCTAGGTTGGAAGGGGAGAGTTAATTACATGCAGCCCTCTCCACTAGTTCTTAGGCAGTAATGAAGAGTGAACAGAAGACCCTTCGAGCTCTACGCTTTGCCTCTCAAGGCATGGTTAGTATTCCTAAAACCATTAGATTTCTGCCCCCTCTTCTCTGCTTAAAGTCTATTTTGAAGTCTGTTCAGTTGGTCCAAAATGGTTAGTTAATGAGGGATGGTTTGACTGTCACTTTCCATAAGGAAGCTGTGTTAAATTAGAATTTGAGAAACAGAAGCATCCAGAGAGAGCATCTAGTTCACATGACCTGTAGGGACCAGGCAGGTGACACAAAGGAGGAGGCGGGTGATGTGGGCAGCAGAGGATGGTGTGGCTGTGATGGGATGTATTGACGAGAGCAGGAGAACCGTCATCTTGGGCAAACACCACCACTGGAAGTTCCAGGTCCCTTGCTAACCTCATGCATTTCAAGGAAATCACCTCTCTTCTAACTACAAGCAGCCAGAAAGAGCAGACAGTAAAATACAGATAAGACAGCTTGTGCTCAGAGGGAGGTGGAGGGAAAGTCTCTTGCGTAACTGCCCAACTTCAGTCTCATACACTGGGCCTTAATAAGCACATTCCTTTCTCTTCAGGTGTGCTAAGATAGGGAAGCTGAAAGCGGACTTGGGGGTATGCCTGCAGCTGCAGAAAGATGTATGGGGACAGACACACAACTCTCTCTCCCAGAGAAACAACAAAGAGACACAGAAACAGTCCAAGCCTGTGATAAACTGTCCCACCCTGAGTCCTGAAAAACTCTTAGTCTGTAAGAGAGTGCAGCTTCTGAACTAACTGGGTTAGAAGTCCCTCCCAGGTTGGAAATAAACCTGTTGACTGTCAAGCCACCCTTTGTATTTCTCTTCTCATTAATTCTTACATGTATAATTTAAGAAAACTGACCAGGTGTAGTGACTCACACCTGAGGTCAGGAGTTCAAGACCAGCCTGGCCAACATGGCAAAACCCTGTCTCTGCTAAAAACAAACAAACAAACAAACAAACAAAAAACAGAAAATTCGCCGGGCATGGCTGTGCATGCCTGTAATCCCAGCTACTCAGGGGGCTGAGGAAAGAGAATCACTTGAACTGGGGAGATGGAGGTTGCAGTGAGCTGAGATTATACCACTGCACCCCAGCTTTGGCAACAGAGCGAGACTCTGTCTCAAATTTAAAAGAAAAAGGGAGAGAGAGAGAGAGAAAGGGGAGAGAAACGGGTGATGTAGTATGGAGAACACACAAAATAGCAAGAGCAGGCAGTTACGGAGTCTCCTAGGGAAAGGTGGAGTTGAGTGCTTCTCAGGGTGGTGTGTAACTGCGTGAGTGTCAACTGTATGCCAGGCACAATACCCATAGCTCTGCATACAACATTTACTTGATTTCACCAGAGATCAAGGAGACGTCATTGCTCCTAGTTTATGGATGGGGAAATGAAGGATTTGGTATGAGAAAGTGTGCCCAAGGTCTCATAGCTGAGCAGTGGCAGAGCTAGAATTGAAGTTCAGGTCTTTTCCCTCCCAATGACTCCACCATGTGGTTTCTGGGGCTCACAAAACTTAGGAGATGAGCAAGGACCAAGGAATTCCCACCTGGGTTGGGAGAATCCAGGGCAGCCTCATTTAATTCACGCTGGGGTAGGGAAAGCTGCCTGGACACTGGAGGGGAGGCAGGTTGGCAGGTTCTTCTGGGCAGAGACTTTTTTTGGTGGGCACTGATACATGGTTGAAGATGAAGAAGGAAAGTGAGCAGAGGAGAGAGGGCATCTGAGGAAGAGTCTACAGGCATGGAGCAGAAGACTAAGGTTTGGAAGGAGACTTAGGAGATGTCCCCAGGAGGACTTTCAGGTGCAAACATGACGCTATGTTCTTCTTTGCCTTCAAGATAAATATATTCTGCTTTTTTTTTTTCCTGCTAGTTTAGTGGGACTGTTATTCCCTGCTATTTGAGGATAGAGTGTGGCAGGGAAGATAAATGGAACTGAGAGTCTAGTTCAGTCACCATGCCAAAATTTAGCATGTCTGGCCTGCCATACCTGCTCAGAAGGTGTGTGATACAGGAAGCAAGGGAGAGAGCAAAGGAGGGAGGAAGAATGAAGGCAGGCAGGCAGGTAGGAAGGAAATAAAGATTGGGAAGCAAATGAAAGCGCCCCTGTCAAGACTTGATACTATTGATTTCATCTCCCTGAGTCCCAGATACCTTCCCTGTAAAATAATGGGAACATTTTGTGCAGCAAGTGATCTATCTACCTTGTAAGGCAGCTGCAAGAACAAATGAAGGTTGCAGATGTATGAAAACTTTGAAATGCAAATACAGGCTGGGTGCAGTGGCTCCTGCCTGTAATTCCAGCACTTTGGGAGGCCAAGGCGGGAAGATCACCTGAGGTCGGGAGTTTGAGACCAGCTTGGCCAATGTGGTGAAATCGCATCTCTACTGAAAATACAAAAATTAGCCAGGCTTGGTGGCCTGTGTCTGTAATCCCAACTACTTGGGAGTCTGAGGCAGAATTGCTTGAACCCAGGAGGCGGAGGTTGCAGTGGGCCGAGATTGCGGCGTTGCATTCCAGACTGGGTGACAAGAACGAAACTCCGTCTTAAAAAAAAATGCAAATGCATAGCGTGTGTAGCAGTAATTTCACATATGGCTTAAACTCCCTTGAGTGTGCTTTGTACTATCAGGTAGATGTAACATACCTATGACCTTCTGACTTCTGTAAAATGGTCAGTCAAAGGGCCCCTGTGACATTATGTTGTGAGGATACCCCTTGTGAGCTCATTTTTGAAAAAGTTGCGTTATTGGTAACATTTGGAGTTCAGCATTGAAAGTTCATGGAATCAGGGGACATGGTAAACACAAAGAGGTAAAAGAAGAATCAGGACCCTTAACCCAACACTTTCTTTCTTTCTTTCTTTCTTTCTTTTTTGAGATGGAGTTTCACTCTTGTTACCCACGCTGGAGTGCAATGGCGCGATCTCGGCTCACCGCAACCTCCGCCTCCTGGGTTCAGGCAATTCTCCTGCCTCAGCCTCCTGAGTAGCTGGGATTATAGGCACGCGCCACCATGTCCAGCTAATTTTTTGTATTTTTTTGTAGAGACTGGGTTTCACCTTGTTGACCAGGACGGTCTCGATCTCTTGACCTCGTGATCCACCCGCCTCAGCCTCCCAAAGTGCTGGGATTACAGGCTTGAGCCACCGCACCCGGCCCAACCCAACACTTTCTAACTCATGATTTCCTTTGGTGCTTGCTCACTGGCCAGTCCCTTCTCTGCAGAGCAGCAATCTCAGCCTTCAGATGAAGAATCCTGTGAGCCCTGTGCCCTTGCCAGGGAGACCCTAGGGGCTCTGGGACTGTGGGTATTTAAAGTTGCCTCTGAGCTTTAACTTCAAGTATTCCCTTGTTAGAATGACTACAACCTGTGGACTGCATACCAGAACCAGGAAACGCAGCAGGTCCTGATGGAGGAGAGAAATGTTTTCTGTGGGACCTACAATGTCCGCATTCTCTCTGACACGTAGGTACTCTGGGGTCAGAATCTAGGTCTCCAGGGACGCTTGAGCTATCTGCACTGGCACTTGGGATTTCCCTGATCCTTGTGTACGTGGAAAGGCAGGCTCTCCTCACCGCACGCTCTAGTCCCAAACTTGCACATGATCCACGTAGACAATAAGTGCTTCATTTCGCACTGTTCTTGGCAGTGGGTACAGGATGCTTTTCCTTTATAACCTTTGGGTATGCTAACCAACAACCTTTTGCACAAGTCGCACACAAAATCTTTATTTTTTGGAATGTCTTTGTTTTGTTATATTAATTTTAGAAATAATATCTGCTTATTGAAAAAAAATCTTTCAAATGTATAGAGAAAGGCAAAGTTTTGCCTTTTTATAATCCCCTGGTGATAACCACCATTAATATTGACGTCTATCCTTCTAGAATTCTTTTATTTGCATACATATAGCACATATTTTAAGTAGAAGTGGGGTTACATTACACATTTTTTTTTTTTTGAGACAGAGTCTTGCTCTGTCACCCAGGCTAGAGTGCAGTGGTGTGATCTCGACTCAGTGCAACCTCCACCTCCCAGGTTCAAGCAATTCTCCTGCGTCAGCCTCCCGAGTAGCTGGGATTATGGGCGTGTGCCACTATGCCCAGCAAATTTTTTGTATTTTTAGTAGAGACAGGGTTTTGCTATGTGGCCAGGCTGGTCTTGAACTCCTTACCTCATGATCCTCCTACCTTGGCCTCCCAAAGTGCCAGGATTACAGGCGTGAGCCACTGCACCTGGCCTGTTACATATGTTTCTGTAACCCAGTCCAGCAAGATATTATATAGATATCTTCCCATGGTAAATATGACAATCGTATTTATAACAATTGGATACTCTCACATTATTGCAATATGCCGAGAGAAGAAGGTTCTTTAAAAATCAACTTTCTGTCATATTTTAGGCCTAGGATTCCTTACTTTATATTCACAAGGTTTGGCAAAATCCACCTCTACTTTATTTTTGGCCATGAATCTTATTAACAAATGGCATCTTGACAATAGAACAGTCAGTATGGGGAAGACAGACCAAATAAGATAGGAGAAAGGCAAAGCTGAGTTTTTATGGATAGTGTGGTGATAACTGCTCTTTAGAAGAGATGGTGACTAGTTGAACTCTAGGTATGACAAATGGAATGAGGGCAAAAATATCAAGAATTGCTCCTTATATATGTGTGTGTACATAAATACAGATATATGCACACATACACATATGTACATGTATATACATAAAAATATATGTATCTGTAGATATATATATATATTTATATTTATTTATTTAAAGAACAGTTATCACCATAACATCCATATTTCTTTTTTCAGAGTGAACCTCATTCTGTTGTCCAGGCTGGGGTGCAGTGGTGCAGTCTTGGCTCATTGTAACCTCCACCTCCTGGGCTCAAGCGATCCTCCTGCCTCAGCCTCCCAAGTAGCTGGGACTCTAGGCACATGCCACTGTGCCTGGCTAATTTCAGAATTTTTTTGCAGAGATGGGGTTTTGCTCTCCTGGCCAGGCTGGTCTCCAAGCTCCTCATATTTAGAGTGATGAGATATCCCTGTTTATTGGAACAATCCCTCTCTACTCTGCAGTCCTAGTGTCATTAATAATGGTGTCCCCAGGTTGGATGCCGTGGCTCATGCCTGTACTCCTGGATCGTTGGGAGGGAGGCTTAGGTAGGAGGATCACTTGAAGCCAAGAACTGGAAGTTACAGAGAATGCAGAGCAAGACCAAAAATAAAAGGAAGGGCGCAGTGGCTCACTTGCAGAGCAAGACCAAAAATGAACAAATACTGTCCCCTTCCTTTTTTTTTTTTTTGAGATGAAGTTTCACTCTTGTTTCTCAGGCTGGAGTGCAATGGTGCGATCTCAGCTCACTGCAACCTTCACCTCCCAGGTTCAAGCGATTCTCCTGCCTCAGCCTCCTGAGTAGCTGGGATTACAGGCATAGACCACCATACCCAGCTAATTTTGTCTTTTTAGTAGAGACATAATTTCTCCATGTTGGTCAGGCTGGGCTCAAATTCCTGATCGCAGGTGATGTCTCAACCTTGGCCTCCCAAAGTGCTAGGATTACAGGCGTGAGCCACTGCCCCCAGACAGTAGTGTCCCCTTTACAGTAAGAAAGTCTCAGGTTGGACAATACATTATTTGGTCATCCTGTTCATATTTTACCTATTTACTAATAATCCTATCATTGGAAAATTAATTCAACTCACCTAGTTTTACGGGACAATAAGCTCATTGTAAGTAAGGTCCTTATCTGATAATTCTTGGTATTTCCTGTGGTATCTGCTAGCACAGGACTTTGAACCTGAAATATGCTCACTGAATATTAAGGGGGAAAAAAGAAGAAAAGAAATACAGTTTGCACAGCGCTTCCCAGCTGTGTTCCTCTGATGTTTTCCAAGAAAAAAAGGTTTCCATGATCAATTACATTTGGGCAATGCCACAGACTCCATTCTTTCTTTTGGGTATTTAGCATACATTTACAGAATTTAAAAAAAATTGCCTGTGTCTTTAGGTTTTAAATTGAACACAAATGGATTTTTGTCATCATATGAGAGTGGGGATCCCTCAGGGCCTGTTAAATCTCGGCCTGGCCTTCTGCTGCTTCCCTTGCTGAAAGGCCCTGAATTTTCCTTTATACCATTGCTGCAGGCAAAAGTCATGGGGCTAAGTCAGTCCCAGGATGGACACTGACTCTTCTTTCATGGATAATCCTTTTCTCCTGGCACTCAGGTGGGATCAAAACAGAGTCATCCACTATTCCGGGGGAGATCTGATAGCTGTGTCATCTAATCGAAAGATCCATCTCCTGGACATCCTGCAAGTAAAAGCAATCCCCGTTGAGTTCCGAGGCCATGCTGGGAGTGTCCGAGCCCTCTTCCTGTGTGAGGAGGAAAACTTTCTCCTAAGTGGGAGCTATGACCTAAGTATCAGGTGAGGAGCCCAAAGGCATCGTGATCCCCATCCCACCTAGGGCCTAGAGGACCCACAGCTCATTTTCTTTTTATATTTAACAGTTATCCTAGAAGATACTGACTTCTAGAATACCTTCAGCTTTTTTTTTTTTTCGACAAGGAAAAAGGAACATATATATTGCTTAAAATTTGAAAAAGATAGATTTATAACAGTTATCAGATGTATTTTCTAATTGATGACTGTGAATCGGAAAAACTTTCTTTATTAGCATTCTTAGATGAAGAAATAACTTACATTTGTTCTTACAGATTCTTTCAGGGGAACATGGCTTCTTATGAGTATGAGACAGAGTATAGATGCAAAATCGTGTTTTAAAAATGCATATGTATGTATATTTTTAAGCAATGTAAAAAACACTCATGCATCCCTCACTCAGGCCAGGAAATAAGACATCACCATTCCCCAGTCCTCCCAACATGCCCTTCTCTTCCTGCTTCTTCCTGCCAACCAGAAGTAATGTTATCCTAATTTTATACTAATTATTCTCTTGCATTTCATTATCATTTTTGCTTCCTTCTTATCTATCTCCAAGAGTACTAATTACTTTTGCCTGTTTTTGAACTCAACAGAAAACGAATCATATTTTAAAACTTTGTTGGTACTTCATTCTTACATAGAACTATGTTTTTAAGATTCACCTATATGATGTAGATGGCAGTAATTAACTTATTTTGACTGAGATACAGTATTAAATTGGATAAATGTATTATCACTCATTTATTTATTTTTCTGTTGGTGGATATTTGCCTTGTTTCTAGTTTTTAATTATTTCAAAGAATGCTGCCAGAGACGGGTTTCGGATATGTTCCCTCATGCCCATGTGCAGGAGGTTTTTAAAGGGATAGTCTTAGTACAGGAATTCCTTTTTTTTTTTTTTTTTTTTTTTTTTTCATTGAGATGGAGTTTCGCTCTTGTTTCCTAGGCTGAAGTGCAATGGCGTGATCTCGGCTCACTGCAACCTCCGCCTCCCAGGTTCAAGTGATTCTCCTGACTCAGCCTCCTGAGTAGCTGGGATTACAGGCATGCGCCACCAGGCCTGGCTAATTTTGTATTTTTAGTAGAGACAGGGTTTCTCCATGTTGGTCAGGCTGATTTCGAACGCCCAACTTCAGGTGATCTGCCTGCCTCAGCCTCCCAAAGTGCCGGGATTACAGGCATGTGCCACTGCGCCCGGCCGTATGGGAATTTCTAGGAAGGAGTACTAAACTGTTTTCCAATGTGGTTGTATTAATTTACATTCCCATTGGCAGTGTATGAGAATATCTCTTCTTATATATTCTCACCAACACTTAATATTGTCAGTCTAACAGTTTTGTCGACCTGATGGGTGTTTTATTGGGGTTTAAATTTTAACTTTCCTGATTACTAATGAAGTTGAACACCTTTTCACATGTGTATTAGTCAAGGTCTCCAGAGAAACAGAACCAACAGAATATGTATATACATAGGAGACTGATGATCAGGTATTGACTTGTGTGATCAAGGAGGCTGGCAAGTCCAAAATCTGCAGCATGGGCTGTCAGGCTGGGGACCCACGAGGCCAGCAGTGCAGATGCTGGCTTAATATGTCCAAAGGCCATCTGCCGGAGAATCTCCTCTTGCCAGGACTCTCTATTAACTTTGTTCATAGTGTCTACCTGAATTTTGTTGAACAAAAATTCTCAATATAAGTGTAATAAAGCATCAGTTTATCAGGGTTTTCTTCCCCCCTCATTTCTGTGATTCTTCCCTCTTCCAAGTCACAGAGATAGTTTCTGACGTTTTCTTCTATCAGCATTACAGTTTTATCTTCTGCATTCAGTTTTTAAATCTATTTCCAATTCAGCCTTGTATGTGGTGTTAGGTAGGGTTTCCCTTTCATTTATTTATACTTAAATAAAGTAAGCAGTTTCTCCCCCACAGCAACTACCATATAACCTACCGCTTCCTCTACTGATCTATGGTGCCATCTTTATCACACGGAAATTTCCCATATGTTCATGAGAATGTCCCTGAGCTTTCTGGTCTAGTCCATTGTCTGTTTTTCTGTTTTTAATCAAAATCCCCCTCCTTGAAAAGTTTCTTTTTTTTTTTTTTTTTTTTTAAATTTTTAGCTATGCATTTGGAGAATGTTTTAAAATGTGATGGGGAGGGAAATTCTCCTTTTCACTTTTCTTTTTTAATGTAACAGCTATGGTATATACATTTTGAGTTTTTGGAGTAAGTTTATCAACTTTCAATAAAACCTAACGAGACTTTTTATTGGGGTTGCATTGAATTTATAGATTAGTTTGGTAAACACACTCAAATCCTCTTTGTTCTTTCTTAGAGACTTAGTTTTCTTTATAAAAGTCTTGTGTATTTTTACTTAATGCCTGTAAACGTTATAATTTTATTACTATTGTGAATGGTATCTTACTTTGCTTATATTTTCAAATTAGTTTTTGCTGGCGTAGAGAAATGCAGTTGATTTTTGTAAATTGATCTTGTGTCTGGCATCCTTGCCAAACTCTCTTATTAGTTCTAAGAGCATGTATGTTGAATCGGCTTTTCTATGTAAGTGATCTCTTCAACTGCAAATAATGACAATGTATTATCTTCTTTTCTAATGCCTATGCCACCTTTTGTTTTTCTTTCCTTCTGACTTTGCCTGGGCCTTCCAGTGCCGTAGCAGGCTGTAGCAGTGAGAGTGGGCATCTTCATCTTGTTTCCCTTCTGGAAGAGAATGCATCTACACTTTCTCCACTGAGCATATTACTTACTGTTAGGACTTTGGCTTATACCTTTTACTAAGTCTGGAAAGTTCCTTGTATCCCTATTTTTCTTTTCTTTTCTTTTTTTTTTTTTTTGAGACGGAGTTTCACTTTTGTTACCCAGGCTGGAGTGCAATGGCGCGATCTCGGCTCACCGCAACCTCCGCCTCCCGGGTTCAGGCAATTCTCCTGCCTCAGCCTCCTGAGTAGCTGGGATTACAGGCACGCGCCACCATGCCCAGCTAATTTTTTGTATTTTTAGTAGAGACGGGGTTTCACCATGTTGACCAGGATGGTCTCGATCTCTTGACCTCGTGATCCACCCGCCTCGGCCTCCCAAAGTGCTGGGATTACAGGCGTGAGCCACTGCGCCCAGCCTGTATCCCTATTTTTCTAAAAGTATTTATCAAATACATTTTTTTGTATAAATTTTAAAAACCAACCTGAAGACGTATATCACCATATTGCTAGCAACAGAAATTCAAAATAGGCTTTTTTTCAGAGCACAGGAGCATCATTCAATGCACTGTGGCTGTATTGTAGGCTCTGAGAAGCTGGTGAGGCATTGGTAAGGCTACAAGATCCTTGGGAATATTAGAAAAAAAAAAAAAAGCTTAACATATCCAAAAAAAACCCCAAAGACATATTTCTTAATCATTTTTATGTGCCAAGCCACACAATAATTCTATGAAGTAAGTATAATTATTATCCCCAGTTGAAGTATAATTATCTTATTATATTATTATAAGTATATATAATATATACTTATATATTATATAATATATACTTATAATAATATATAAGTATATATTATATATATGCATAAGTCTATATAATATATATTATGTAGACATATATATAAAAGTATGTATTATATATATACTTATAATAAGTATATAATAATATTATACTTATATATATATACTTACAAGTATAATATTATTATATACTTATTATAAGTATAAGTATAATTATTATCCCCAGATCAAGAAACTGAGGTACATGGTGGTTCAGTAAGTTACCTAGGATCACACAGCCAGAAAGTGCTGGGCCTGGGAATGGACTGCAGGCAGCCTGCTCCAGAGCCCACTCACAATGCTGAGAGCATTCTGCTTTGTCCTGTCTCGAAAGCAACCTAGTTGAATCGGAAGTATCAATGGTATTGAGAGACCTTGGGCAAGTTTTCTTATTAAAAATCACGATAACTTATCTTTGCTTCCATCTGTCTCTTAGATCTGCTTTATATGTACATAAGTATTTTGGATCCAAATGATTGGTAAAGGATTCTGTTGCTCTTATTTGAAGATTAGCCGTACCATTGAATCAGTGCCATGGATTCTAAGCCTGGTGGTCATTCGAAACGCTTTTACCTAAAAACCACCTGACATTGATCAACCATTTTGTACATGTTAGTCACTATTCCATTGTTACCTCCACTGGGGCAGGGTTTCTTAACCTTGCCATCAGGGGCTGGAAATTCCTTTACTGTGGGGCCTGCCCTATGCAATGTAGGATGTTTAGCAGCATCCCTGGATTCTATGCACTAGATGCCAGTGGCACCTCCTTCTCTGCTTGTGACCAAAAATATCTACAGACATTTCCAAATGGTCCCTGGAGGTGGAAGTTACCCATGATTGACAATCACTGTATTCGTCCATTTAATTCTTCACAGCAACCCTACGATGTGACTACTCTTATTATCACTTCCATTTTATCAATGAGGAAAGGAACTTACACAGAAATTAACTTCCTCAAGGTTACACAAAATAGGTGCTGCAGCTGGGATTCAAATCCAGGCCCCTGACTCTAAGCTGAACCATGAGACTCTGCTGCTTCCCAACTGCCTACTTATCTACAGGGGTTCTACGCAATATGATCCTCTGGGCCCTCAGGAACTCTCACAAACATTCTTTTGGCCTGATTCCTGCAGATACTGGGATCTGAGAAGTGGGGCTTGCACACGAATCTTCAATGGTCACCAGGGGACTATCACTTGCATGGATTTATGTAAGAACAGGCTTGTATCTGGAGCAAGAGATTGCCAGGTAAAAGGTGAGAAAGAAGTGCATTAAACTTTCTAACAAGTTTTCCCCAATCCCAAATGCTGTGTATTGCTCATTTCTATGGGCAGTAATTTATTCTTTATCATCCATCCATCCATCCATCCATCCATCCATCCATCCTTTTTTCCTTTCACGTATCTGTTAATCCATCCATTCAACAACTATTTGTAGAGTGCCTACAATCAGCTACACACTGAGCTAGGTGCTGAGGAGAAATAAAGAATAGGATATGGTCCTTTAGATACAACTTTTTATTTCTTCAAAGGGCTCATAGTCTGCTAATGGAAGCAGATACATAAATATATAGTGGGGAATATAATAAATACATGAACAACAGTAGCTGCCACTTACTGAGTACCAGTATATGACAGATGCTTAACATGTATCATTTAATCCTCATGAGAGCCCCATTGGTAATTTTATAAGTGGGCCAAGATATATACACAAAATATAAGTGAAAGAAAGCATACATACTTACATAGCTAGGGTTAACCTAGCATAATGGTTAAGCACATGGCCTCTGGATCCAGACTCCCTAGGTTCAAATCCTGGCTCTGCCACTCACCACCTGCATGACTCGAGCAGGCAATCTAACTTCTCTATGCCTCAGTTTCCTCATCTGTGAAGTGGGGTACTTGTCTTGTGAAGATGAGCTAATGCATGTCATCCACCTCGAGTGGTCGCTGGCTTACTTTTAGTGCTATGTAAGTCTCAACTCACATTATGTTTTGTCTCAGGTTGTTATTATATTTTGTCTCAGGCCACTTGTTCTGTTGCCTGAGGAAGAAGGTGCTTTAGGGGAGCACCTTTGAAGGAGACGTCAATGTTTTCATTCCTGAATTCATAGAGCTCACTTTCGACTTCTTCCTTTTAGCCCTGTTCTCCCACCCACCTACCCACTCTTTTCCCCACTCAGCACCTAGAAGATGCCAGACAGTTGTTTTAACACAGTCTGTGTTGAAGCAGCAGTAGACCCACCCCTAGCCATGACCATTTCTCCATAAAACCCAAAAGTCAGATTCAGAAGTATTTAAATATGTGAGAGCAGACAACTTTCTTTTCTTTTGGGGACAGAAGGTGTGAGTCAGGAAGACAGCATCTGGAAAACACGACAACACTAAACATATGCCATGATTTTCCTTTTTTTTTTTTTTTAATTACTTTACCTGCTCCTACTCAAACTGTATGCCATGATTTTATGAAATCTACTCAATAGCTAGCATGTTTCAGGCTTGAGGCATCAGCTGATTGGAGATGAGCTGTCTAGCACTTGGGCCTCAAGGCTAAGTTCCAGGGCCATAGCCAAGGTCTTCCGTACTGTGGGCTCCCCAGCCACCTGCAGTCAGGGTGCTCTGTGCTGTGGGTACATGAGCTGTTGGAAGTGCTAGGCCAGGGGAAGGTCTTCTAGAATCTGCCTTGATGGGCTCGGTGAGTCTTCGGTTCTGTGATGGGAAGCAGTACTCCACTGTAACCTTTCCTTTTCTTCCTTTTCTCCCTTTTCCCCATCCCATTTCTTCCTATTTCTCCCTCCTGTTCAGTGTGGGATGTAGACACAGGGAAGTGCCTGAAGACATTTAGACACAAAGACCCCATCTTGGCCACCAGGATCGATGATACCTACATTGTGAGCGCGTGTGAGCGAGGGGTGGTAAAAGTGTGGCACATTGCCACGGGCCAGTTGGTAAAGGTGAGGGGGCAGTGGGCTGCCTTGGGGGAAAGGGCACAGGGAGGAGATGGGTGGGCTCCCCCTACCTAGCTCCCCAGGTCATCCTAGAGCAACTGAGTATAGCCATTAAGAAGGACAGTCCTGACACCCTAAAGGGGAGAGCCCCAAAGTGCAGCATGCAGAGTCCATGGAGGGTAGGGGCTCCACCACCCACATCATAACCCACGGTATCATGGGGTTGGTGGGGAAGGCTGCATTCTAACTCAGCATGAGATACGGGCTCAGGGCCTTCTCACAGCAGTGCAGGTGAAGTGCTTTTTTCTCCTCAGGAGTGTTGCACTTTGATTCTGGCGTGGGGTGAGGGGATGAACAAAACATTTTTTTTTTTTTCCCTAAGAAGAAAACACTGCGGGATGAACAGAGAATGTGTATTCTTCTTGCTCTCTAATGAAGAGAGAACATTGATGGTCTTGAAAGTGACTGGATGGTCACAAAACATATTCTTGCCGGATCTGAACCTCTGGCCTTAGCGGGTGGTGTTGATACATGTTTTGTACCAGGAACACAGGATCACAGTGAAAAGTGGCTGGCTTGGCCTGTGGAATTTTCCCACCAATCTTGTCACTAGGGCCAATCTAGCAATTGCCGGCACAGAGATGGCTCATGTGCACTCTGGGTTCTGGCAAGGAGCTGGGATGGCACACCTTACCTTCATCCTTCTGACAGCAAAGGACAGTGATTTCTGACCCTCTCCGGTGCTCCAAGAAGGTAGTGTCTGCCCCAAACTCAGGAGCAAGGCCCCTCCCTCATCCTATTCCTCCTTAACCAGAGAGAGACAAAGCTCTAAAGAGAGGAAGGCTTGGAATGGACTCCACTGGCCTTCTTAGAGCAAAAGCAAGATTAGCTCAGGTACCTACTGGGTGAATGGCAGTCACGGGCTGGTGGGGTGTGGCTTTGGGATTTGTCTGAAGAAGCCTCAGCTTTGGTTCTTGGAGGAGTCACAGTCTGAGTTGAAGACAGTGGCGTCTTTTCTTGCAGACTCTCAGTGGCCATGAGGGAGCTGTGAAGTGCCTGTTCTTCGACCAGTGGCATCTCCTCTCGGGAAGTGCTGACGGCCTGGTCATGGCCTGGAGCATGGTGGGGAAGTATGAGCGCTGCCTGATGGCCTTCAAGCATCCCAGGTAGGTGCCTGTGAAGCCCGGAGCAATAAACCTGCTGTCCTTCCCTTCCCTGTCACAGCCTAAATTGCAATTATTGGCAGACCTTCTGCCCACTGTGGACGCCGTGTTCCCTGTACCTCACCCCCTCTGCTTCCCCCCTCTTCCACTTGGGACCCATTTTCCCCCACCATCTTCTCTGTCTGGCTATTAACCTCTTCCATGCTATCTCATTTCTCTCGAGCAGTAACTACGGGAGCTGGGGGTTTTGAGAAGTTAATGAAACTGTATACTTACGACATGATAAATTCATGATGAATTCATACCAGATACCTATCAGACATATGAATACTGGCAGAATCATCCCAAATAATGCCAATTTGAGTAAACCTAAAATTCTAGGAATTGGTCTGTATCTCAGGATGCTTGTGCTCACAAAAGCTTAAAAATGATCCAAAGACTTAAAACGAGCTGAGAGCTGGCCGGGCGCGGTGGCTCAAGCCTGTAATCCCAGCACTTTGGGAGGCTGAGGCGAGTGGATCACGAGGTCAAGAGATCGAGACCATCCTGGTCAACATGGTGAAACCCCGTCTCTACTAAAAATACAAAAAATTAGCTGGGCATGGTGGCGCGTGTCTGTAATCCCAGCTACTCGGGAGGCTGAGGCAGGAGAATTGCCTGAACCCAGGAGGTGGAGGTTGCGGTGAGCCGAGATCGTGCCATTGCACTCCAGCCTGGGTAACAAGAGCGAAACTCTGTCTCAAAAAAAAAAAAGAGCTGAGAGCTTAAAAAGAGGAGCTTATAACTACAAGTCTGCGGGCTAGGTCCTGTCTTGGGATAGCACATGGATTTTCATTTACATGCCAACTCAAATTTAGTGGTGTGGCTGCTTGGAGCCAGTTGATAAGCATTCTGAGACCTCGTCCAGGCTTGTTTGGAAAGAGTATTGTGGTCAATGAGTGATTCCGCCATGGTCACGGGTTTTATATGCTGCTATGCTACTCTTATACTACATGAATACAGCTTCTTCTGCTGAATGCATTATAAAAATTTCCAGGAAACTAAATGCTACCTTAATTGATTAAACGAATAACTGGGCTTTCTAGGGGATCTTTCAGGGAAAACTTATTTTTAGTAAATTGATCTTTTTTTTTCTTTTTTTGAGATGAAGTCTTGCTCTGTCACCCAGGCTGGAAGTGCCGTGGTCAATCTTGGATCACAGCAACCTCTGCCTCCCAAGTTTAAGTGATTCTCATGCCAGAGCCTCCTGAGTAGCTGGAATTACAGGCACACACCATCATGCCCAGCTAATTCTTGTATTTTTAGTAGAGGTGGGGTTTTGCCATGTTGTCCGGGATGGTCTCGAACTCCTGAGCTCAAAGCAATCTGCCCGCTTCTGCCTCCCAAAGTGCTGGGATTACAGGCGTGAGCCACTGTGCCCAGCTCATTATTTTTAGTATAGTCCTAGATTTTCTTATATCCTTATAGGAAACTTTGAGGCGGGCACATTAGTTTTGTGGGATGTGTAAAGGCGTGTGGGTGTATCTGTGTGGTCTCGGTCTACGGTATATGACTGCATTATTGATAGGTAGGTGCCAGGAAGGCCCTGTGTTCAGTGACTTAGCTTACCCTTAGATATAAGAGTCAGAATGAACCATGGTTGCTTCCTGATTGCTAAGTTTTGTGAAAAGCCCTCTTAGTCCCCACCACAAGATTTTAACTCCATCCAACCAGCTTAGTAAACCTTCTGGATTTCAAGCCTTGATCTCAGGGAGGAAGTCAAACTTTATGAAATCACCTGATAATGTCAACTCCGTGTTTTAAAACCTTCTAAGCAGGATTTAGTAGGATTAGTTAGTTAGCACAAAATAATTTGTTCCTAGCAAGCCCAGCAATTTGGTCACTGTTCAATCATGTCATTAGCCTCTCCCTCCGCCTCTGCTATGAGACCTTCTCAGGTAACTCTCACTGCTATTGAATGACAGTCCCTAACATAACATTCATCTTAGCTCTCGCTACCCTACACAGGCACAGAAAAACCATAGACATCTGGAAGACATGGTCAGTACTCTGATTTGTAGGTCTTCTCCCCACTTGTCTTACTTGTCTGTAGGAGCGCTGTGCTCAATAAATGTATCTAACTGATTGGTAACAAGGAATAATTTGACAGCTTGCCTTTCTGGAAAGTTCTAAGGATTGGACTGATAACTCCTATTGTGAATGTGACATAGGTGAGAAAGCAGATATAGTTGCTGTCTGTCCTTTGATGGAAGAGGGGCTGGAGAAAGTGGTCTCCTTTCCAATCCTGGTCTAATATTTTTTCAACTGCAATTAAGATTTTTGCATATAGCATGGGACAGAATGGATAGGAGGGAGGAAGTCTGAGGGTGCAAAGTAGGGCTGACTGATGATCTTTGGAAAAGCTTCCGTACTATGTAGTGTCTTTTATTTTATTTTATTTTTCTTGAAACAGTCTTGCTCTGTTGCCCAGGCAGGAGGGCAGTGACATGATCTTGGCTCACTGTAAACCTGTGACTCTTGAGTTCCAGCAAGTCTCCTGCCTCAGCCTCCTGAGTAGATGGGACTACAGGCGTGTGCTACCACACCTGGCTAATTTTTGTATTTTTAGTAGAGATGGGTTTTCACCATGTTGGCCGGGCTGGTCTCGAACTCCTGACCTCAAGTTATCCCCTGTCTTGGCCTCTCAAAGTTCTGGGATTACAGGCATGAGCCACCACTCCTGGCATGTAAAGTGTCTTTTTTTTTTTTTTTTTTTTTTTTTAAATTTAAGCCTGACCCACATGGCAAAACCCTGTCTCTACAAGAATTAGTCTGGCATGGTGGCACATATCTGTAGTCCCAGCTACTCTGGAGGCTGAAGTGGGAAGCTCAACCTGAGACTGGGGAGGTTGAGGCTACAGCAAGCTGGGATTGTGCCACTGCACTGGGTGACAAAGTGAGACCTTGCTTCATCAAAACAAAACACTTTATTCCTTAATGTATTTTCCATAGCTTACATTGTAATTTGGTTTTCTTTGCAATTTTTAATTAGGATATGATTCACATGACATAAAATTCACCACTTTAGTGTACAATTCAATTTTTAAAATATATTCATAATGTGCAACCATTGCCACTATCTAGTTACAGGACATTTCCATCAGTTAGTAGAAATGTCCCCTGCTTCATTCTTTGTATTGGTAATTTGAGTCTTCTTTCTTAGTTTCTTGGTCAAAGATTTGTCAATTATCTAGCTAACAGTTTGTTGACTTTTTAAAAAGAGAACCAGCCAGGCATGGTGGCTTATGCCTGTAATTCCAGCACTTTGGGAGGCCAAGGCGGGTGGATCACCTGAGGTCAGGAATTTGAGACCAGGCTGGCCAACATGGCAAAACCGCATCTCTACCAAAAATGCAAAAATTATCTGGGCTTGGTTTGGACGCCTTTGATCCTAGCTACTCGGGAGGCTGAGGCCAGAGAACAGTTTGAACCTGGAAGGTGGAGGTTGCAGTGAGCTGAGATCGCGCCATTGCACTCCAGCCCAGGTGACAAGAGCAGAACTCTGTCTCAAAATAAATAAATAAATAAATAAATGAAAAGAAAACAACTTCTGGTTTAATTTGATTTTCTGTATTTTTAAATTGTCTATTTTTGATTTCTGCTAAAATCTTTATGATTTCTTTTCTGCCTTTTGATCTGAGTTTTGTTTGATCTTTTCTAGTTTCCTAAGGTGAAAGGTTATTGATTGGAGAAAGATTGCCATCTACCACTCTAAATTTCCCTCTGAGAACTCTTAGCTTCATTCCATAAGTTTCGATAAGTTGTGTTTTCATTTTCATTCACCTCGAATTATTTTCTTGTTTCCTTTCTGATTGATTCTTTGACTCAGTGGTTATTTAAGAGAAGGTTGTTTAATTTCCCCATAATTATGAATTTTCTAAATGCCCTTCATTATTCATTTCTAATTTAATTTCATGGTAGTTGGAGAGCATACTTTGTACGATTTCAGTCTCTCAAAATATATGAAGATTTGTTTTGTAGCCTAACATATGGTCTATCCTGGAGAATGTTCCATGTGCCCTTGAGATAAAGGTGCACTCTGCTGTTGTTTGGTGGAGTGTTCTGTATAGGTATGTTAGCTCTAGTTTTTGATATTGTTCATGTCTTCTGTTTCCTTGTGGATCTTCTAACTAGTTGTCCTTTTCAGTCCCACCCTCTCAGGAGGAGGCTGAGGTAGGAAGATCACTTGAACCTAGGAATTCGAGGCTGTGGTAAGCTTTGATCTCACTACTGCACTCCAGCCTGGGTGATGGAGTGAGACCCTGACTCTAAAGGAAAAAAAAAAGACTTACTTCTGTCATTATGCTATTTGTTTTTTATAGTCTTGTGTACTTCTATTTCCTGAATTCTTCCATTGCTGCCTGCTTTTGCATTAATTGTATATTTTTAGTGTGTCATTTTAATTTTCTTGTCATTTTTCTTTTCTGTAATTTGAATGTGTCCCCAAGAAGTATGTGTTAGAAACATAATCCCTAATGCAACAGTGTTCGGAGGTGGAGCCTCATGGGAGGTATTTAGGTCATGAGGGGTCTTCTTTCAGGAATGGACTAACTAAGGCTCTAGTTGGAATAGGTCCATTACTGTGGGAATGGGTTCCTTATAAAAGGATGATTTCAGTTCTCTCTTGCTCTCTCTCTTGCCCTCTTTTTGCCTTTCTGCCACGGAATGGCACAGCAAGAAGTTTCGCACAAGATGCCAGCCCTTTGGTTTTGGACTTCCCAGCCTCTAAACCCGTGAGTCAATAAGCTTCTGTTGATTATTAATTACCCATTGTATGGTATTTTGTTATAACAGCACACAATAGACTAAGACACTCTTCTAAAGAGAAATCATCAATTAATCTTACTCGAGGATCCTTTTTACATGAGGACCTACCTGCTTTTCTCATGCTGTTCTCATTATTCTTTTCACCCTCGGTTTTTGAACATTTGATGATGATACCTCTAAGTGTGGAGCTCTTATAGTTTATCCCAGTTAGAGTTTGTTGAGCTTCTTGGACTTGTAAGTTAATGTTTTTCATCATATTTGGGAAGTTTTCAGCAATCATTTGTTCAAATATTCTTTCTGCCCCTTTCTCTACTTTCCTCCTGGATTTCCTATTATGCATATATTGATTTGTTTGATGATGCCATATAGATTTCTGGGGCTCTATTGATTTCCTTTCTTCTTTATTTTCTTTCTGTTCCACACACTGCGTAACTTCAATTGACCTTATGTCAAGTCCTTTGCTTCTTCTGCTTGCTTATATATGCTGTTGAGCCCCCTCTAGTGAGCTTTTTCTTTCTTCAGCTGGTGTAGTTGTCAGAATGAGGTCCATTCTGTTCCCTCCACTACCAGAAATGGAGGCTGTTACTTTCATGGCTACCACTGGGCTGGGAGGTGGGAAGTGGCACAATCTCGGCTCACTGTAACTTCCACCTCCCGGGTTCACGTGATTCTCCTGCCTCAGCCTCCTGAGTAGCTGGGATAACAGGTGCGTGTATTTTTAGTAGAGACAATGTTTCACCATGTTGGTCAGGCTGGTCTTGAACTCCTGACCTTGACGTCTCATTATTCTTATTGACACTATGCCATTTTCCTTGTCTAAGTTCTCCCTGGGTTGCTGCAAACCTTTGATTATTTTCCAGAGTTCTGGATAAATTGATTTTGGAAGTTTTTGCTAGGTTCTCTTTGCTTTTATGGAAGGGCAGAATTTTGGAATTTCTTATACCACCATTTTCATCCACATCAGTCTACAGTGACTTTGATGAAGAAGGAGCAAAGAAAGGAGACAATTTATTTGTAGGGCAGAGATAAAACCTGAAAGGAGACTGGGCTACTGTAAGATCACAGTAACCACTATTGTGTCAGGGATTGAGCTAAGTTTTTTAAATGCCTTAATTAATTTAGTGCTAACAGCAATCCTCTGAGGCAGAAATGACTATCTCTACCTCATAGAAAAGAAAACTGAAGACTGAGATATTAAATTACTTCCCGAAGGTTATACAGCCCGTAAGTGATAGAGTCAGGTTTTGATCCCAGGTTTTCTGATCCCAGTTGTGTTTAAATTACTAGGCTACAACGATGTAGACTGAACTACCAACTATCATGGGGATCTCTGGGAAGAGAAGTACTGGCTCAGCTCAGCAAGATCAAAAGAGATACATGAAGAGGCCAAATTTTCTATCACATGGCATTTCTCCCCGCGCTGGGTTACATGATTGGCACACTGATGTGCTTAGGACACCAAAACAGTTCTATTTCCACCTTGAAAAAATCTCAAAATTTGTTGGACTTTTTCTTTCTTTCTTTCTTTCTTTCTTTCTTTCTTTCTTTCTTTCTTTCTTTCTTTCTTTCTTTCTTTCTTTCTTTTCTTTCTTTCTTCTCTCTCTCTCTCTCTCTCTCTCTCTCTCTCTCTCTCTCTCTCTCTCTCTCTTTTCTTTCTTTCTTTCGAGACAGGGTCTCACCCTCTTGCCCAGGCTGGAGTGCAGTGATGCAGTCATGACTCACTATAACCTCATAATTTCAAACTCTTACACTCAGGTTAGCCTATCACCTCAGCTTCACAAGTAGCTGGGACTTGCGAAGCTGCTCGTGAAGTACACCACCATGCCTGGCTAATTTTTAAATGTTTCTTAGAGCCAAGGGCTCGAACTCTTAGCCTCAAACAATCCTCCCATCTTAGTCTCCCAAAGTGCTGGGATTTGGCCTTGTTAGACTTGTTAATACTTATTTTATAGATTAGTTTTCTCTCTCTCTCTCTATCTTTACCTATCACGTAATGAGGGGTTCAAGTCATATTTGCCTCTTTGCTGCTCTTTGGGTATGATGATCATGCTCCTGCCTTTTGAGGTCTTTGCTGTATCTGTTTGGTTAATGGTTGGGGCCTTGAAAAGTCTTCATCTGATCCTGGGATCTGACCAAGTCTGAGGCCAAATGGCATAGGGTGGATGTCATTCTTTTAACGCATTGTAGCAATGACCACACTCTGAAAACACGAGCAGATATTCACTTTTTCAAGAAATATAAATTAAGGACCTATGATGGGCTGAGTGCTGTGGTAGGTGATGAGCATGCAGTGATGAGTTGTGCCCAAGAGAATCTGAAAGTATACTTGCAGTTTGCACACATGTGTGATGGAGGGAGACGTGGGAAGAATTTAAGATAAGAAATGGCTGTTTGAAGAAGGAAGCACACGAACTACGCCATGAATGGACTTGGATGGGTAGAGCTGGCGGGGATTTATAGACTTGCTTTGCGTATACAATCTAACAAATTGGTGGTATCAAATTCATCTTTTCTGTGTCATTAACAGGAATGGGGTACTTTTACTTCTTAGAATTGAGTGCTTCACATATCTGGGATCTAATCTGAACCCAGAAAGTTTCTAGAAAGTATTTTGTTGGAGGAATCTGTCTAGATCTTCTTCTGGTCCCTCCTCCCTTTTCCTACTGGCCATCAAAAAGGGTCACTCCTGAGGCTGGGCGCGGTGGCTCACGCCTGTAATCTCAGCACTTTGGGAGGCCAAGGCAGGTGGATCATGAGGTCAGGAGATCAAGACCATCCTGGTCAACATGGTGAAACCCCGTCTCTAATAAAAATACAAAAAATTAGACAGGTGTGGTGGTGCGCCTGTAGTGACAGCTACTTGGGTGGCTGAGGCAGGGGAATCTCTTGAACCCAGAAGTGGAGGTTGCAGTGAGCTGAGATCGCACCACTGCACTCCAGCCTAGTGACAGTGCGAGACTCCGTCTGAAAAAAGAACACTCCTAAATCTCATCCCTGGATATAATTTTCCTTAAGGATACTTCACTGAAAGAATAAAAGCCACCAATTTAAGACAAAAAAGAAACTGCTCAAATAAAAAGTATTTGCTTTATATAAAGATAATCATTTTCCTTACTGTTTTCTTTTTAATATGATAATATTATTTTAAAAGGAATCAAAACATCAAATAATTCTCAGCATGACTATGTATAACTAAAAGCCAGGAATCAAATTGAAAGAGGCAAAGATGATCATCTATATGTCAGATCAAAAAAAAAGATTGTGACATTAGCCCCTTTGTTCTGTCATGTGTGGCCCTGTGACCTAATTGCAGGGAAAGTAGCTCCAGAATGGGAAGAGGTATGTCTTGAGAGTGGTTGGTGATTTACTTCCACAATTACGAAATGACGGTAAACACCATTTCGAAGCCAGTTACGGCCACTGCCCCCAATCACACACAAAACACCCCAAACTCCAAACAAACCCAGGCACTTTATGAGAGGATGGGTACTGCCTGCTGCTCTGTTCCCTTCCAGGGAGGTGCTCCACGTGTCCCTTCTCTTCCTCCGGGTCATCAGCGCCTGTGCAGATGGCAAGATCCGAATTTACAATTTCCTCAACGGGAACTGTATGAAGGTGATAAAAGCCAATGGCAGAGGCGATCCTGTGCTGTCCTTCTTTATTCGGGGCAACAGGTGGGTGGTAGGTGTGGAGGTCAGAACTGTGAGTGATTCTGTCTGATTTTTTTCCTCCCCTGGGATACCAGCCCTGGATCTGCTGTCAGCAGGAGAGCGTGGGCAGTGCCTCTCTACAATTTTGGCTGGGCGGAGCGATAGTCTTGTGGTGGGGACTGATAGGGCTTTGCACAAAACTTAGTAATCAGGAAGCAATCATGGTTCATTTTGACTCTTAACTTATCCTGGGTGTTTGTGGGAATTGCAGTGGGTGCACCGTAACGCTTCTGTAAGGACCACAGTTCTATCAACGTGCAGCCCCTGCTTGCTTTGTGATCATGCCTTTGGCTGCCTGAGAGTTCTATCAGCTATCTCTGATGCCTCACTTCTAATGCAAAGGACAAATAAGAGGGTGGGAGGTGGCAGCAGCAGGGGGTACAGTAAAGGAGAGCTGAGCTGGCGAGCTTACAAAACTAGGACCTTGACTGTCTGCATTGTATACAGTACTGAGCTTTTTATATGCATGGATTCAGGTGCTATCATATGAAAATAACCAAATAGAGCTAACCTATGAATTCTACTTCAAGCTCACTTCAGGCATCACTTAATCTCCCTGAACCATTTTGCCTTCCTTTTAGTGAAACTTCATTAGTACTATTTACCATCTTAAAGAGGGCAGCCTGGTAATAAGGCTCAATTAATGAACACTTTTCAGTCAGGCTGCTAAAAAAAAAAAAAAAAAAAAAAAAAGCTCAGACCATATTTTATTCACAGCATCCAAAGAAAGGTGATTTCCGTTTGGCTTGAGTAAAAATAAGTCTAAAAGAGATTTCTTATTGCAATGACTCCCCCCATTCCATTCCGGCAGTTCCAGCCAAAACAGTGTCATTGGTAAGGTCTTAATGTTGCAGCCTTTTGGAGCAGAAAGGAGCCTGCGCAGTGTATTTCCATTTCTTGCTTATAGTTATTGGAAGAGCACAGACAGGGGAAATCCACTTGCTTGTGAAACTGCGGGGTCGGGGAGGCAGTGCTGAGGGGGACAGGAAGAAGATAGGGAGGGCAAGTTCTGGAGCTCTTTGTCTATGGAGCATAAAAGTGGGGATTAGAGAAGTTAGAAATCAGCTCGCTCTGTCAAGTACAGATGCTCTGTCTACATCTAGAGTATGTGCAGAGATTCTGGAATGACAGCATGGGGTGTGTGGTGTCTGTGCGGAGGATCTGAGAAGGAGACGAGGTCTCCCCACTAGAGAGCTTCCCTCATTCCCAGCAGCAATAGTAATATTGGGTTTGGAAACTGTGCAAAATTAAACAGCAAAACAATCCAGTGAATTTCAAGACATCTGTGCACAGAGGCACTCACTCCAGGAACAGAAATTCATTTAAAAGCATTTTAACTTGAGGTCGGGCATGGTGGCTCATAATCTGAGCACTTTGAGAGGTCGAGGCAGGTGGGTCGTTGAGTTCTGGATTTCAAGACCAGCCTGGGCCATATGGGGAAACACTGTCTCTACTAAAAACCCCAAATGAGCCGGGCATGGTGGCACGCGTCTGTAGTCCCTGCTACTCAGAAGGCTGAGCCATGAGAATCACTTGAACCCGGGAGGTGGAGGCTGCAGTGAGCCGAGATAATGCCACTGCACTCCAGCCTGGGTGACAGAATGAGACTCTGTCTCAAAATAAATTTTTTTAAAAAGGCATTTTAACTTGAGAAGTGAAATAATCAGAACACACGTGCCCCGATCATGTTTACTTTTTAAAGAAAAGTGACAAAGCTAACGAATCCTGCTACATGGCCTGATACCTTTCAGCACTCTCCACCCTCCAGCCCCCTACACCACTAGTCTGTTGGGTCGTTGCCTGGACACTGTTCCCTTGGTCTGAAGATCAGGTGGGACAGTAACTGCAGTGCATCGCTCAGTGGCCTCCACGCTCCATTTATGGGCAACCCCGTTTTGGTTCCAGGATGGTGGTCAACACAGAGAGCAACGTTCTCATGTTCCAGTTTGAGCACGTAAAGTGGCAGTATGCCATGGAAAAAATGAAACCAAAGAAGAATAAGGAGAAAGAGGAGGAAAAAGAAGAAAATATCCTCGTGGAAATTCTCTCCAAGTCAAATACTCAGATTCACAGCCCGAGAGAGTCTGTATCCAGTAAACAAACTGTGATCCAGGAGCTCCTGCCAAAGAAACCTCCCAAGTGCCGAGTACTCCTGAAGCCGGCCAAGTTATCTTCAGGTAAAAAACCTGAAATACCAGCAAGTTGAGTGATAAGCCACAGCGTAGGTCGGGGTTTGGTGGGGGTGGTGGGAACAGGGGAGGACTGGTTTCTTTGTGGAATGTTTTGGCCAGTGGGTTCCTGAGGATATAAATCCTAACCCTCCAGGAAGGTAGGAGCCATTCTCTCTGATCCGCCAAACAATTTATCAGCTGCCTAAAGGGAACTTTCTGATTTGCAAGAGCTAGATTTTCAAACTTAAAAGAATCTTTGCACGGGAGATAAGACTAGTCTTAATACTTGTCACTGAAACACAAAACAAGCAACCAATATCCCATCCCCCAAATTCAAAACGTATGTTATAAAACTGTTTTGGGCTGGGCGCAGTGGCTCAAGCCTGTAATCCCAGCCCTTTGGGAGGCCAAGGTGGGCAGATCACGAGGTCAGGAGTTCATGACCAGCCTGACCAACACGGTGAAACCCCATCTCTACTAAAAAAATACAAAAATTAGCCGGACGTGGTGCCGCACACCTGTAATCCCAGCTCCTGGGGAGGCTGAGGCAGGAGAATCGGTTGAACCCGGGAGGCGGAGGTTGCGATGAGCCGAGAGCACTCCAGCCTGGGTGACAGAGACTCTGTCTCAAAAAATAAATAAGTAAATAAAACTGTTTCTTCAAGACAGAGACAAAAGTTGCTGTAAACAGAAAAAGGATCCATGCAGAATGTATTGTTTTTAGACCCAAGAGATCATGTTTGTAGCTGGAAAATCTTACGTATAAAGCAGATGTGTGCGTGTGTTTGTGTGTGTGTGGCTGTCAGCGGGGGTGTAGGCATGGCCAATGCCATTTATAAGACATCCAAAGACTAATCATCGGTGGGTTAGGGTGGCAAGACTCCTTCCTTTTACCAGCCCTATATAGGGGGAGTCAGGATGAGATCTAGACCTGAGACTTGTCAACCTAAAATAATCGAAAGATTCGGGATCTAGCTAAAAGAGTTTACCCAAGTGCAAAGTTTGAGGGCAGCATCCAGGGGCACAGGGACACCAAACACTACTGTGACCAGTGCTCCTGGGGTGGGGAAAAAGGAAGATCCTTTACATAGACAGAAACAGAGGTGCTGAACAGAATTCAATTTTCCACACAAAGCCTAACATACAGATGTAAGACTAGATTGGTTACTATTGATTACACTCTAATGTGTTGCTTAACATTCTGCTGTAAAGAGGTGACGATCACAAGGGTGTCTGTCTCCACGTCATAGTCTCAGTTTCAGTGAAGACAAGGGAGTCTGCTTAATGGAAAAGACCTCAACACAAAGGTCAGGGAGCATTGATCACACACCAGAGCAGGAAAGCAGCTGTGCTATGTGACTCAGTTTCCAGGGCTTCACTTTTCCCCGTCACACAGTCAATTTAGAACGTCGTTACACTCCCTTTACTTTTCACGGACTGCAGGTAACTATTTGGTTTCACATGACAACAAACAATTACGGTGTTTTGGTAGAAAAATACAGTTAGATGGAAGGAATAAGTTCCAGTGTTTGGTTGCACAGTAGGGTGACAACAGTTAACAATAAGGTGTTGTGTCTTTCAAAATAGCTAGAGGAGAAGATCTGGAATGTTCCTAACACAAAGAGATGATAGATGTTTAAAATGATGGATATCCTAATTATCTTGATCTAATCATTACACATTGCATGCATGTATCAAAATATCACATGTACTCCATAATTATGTATCTATAAAAAACAAGATAGTGATATTTTGTATAAAAATCAGTCCAATGATCAGCCCCCATTATTACTGATTATATTATTTTATGCCCTAATTGAAGTGTATAATGACTACGTTTTCTTTCGCAATCCCAATTTAGCAGTGTTAACAGAGGTACCTCAAAGTCAAGGAAAGTCAAAATTACCCCGGAGAGACGGTAAGAGGAGAGTTTATTCAGTTCATAAGGGAACAAATGGCATGGATGGTGGGCAGGAGCATTTGGAGGCAAAATCCATGGCAGGAGATAAGACGAACAGTGATACTTAATTCTGAATTAGTGGCAAGATCCATACTCTCTCTGTGTCTCTCTCTAGTTTCGTATTGTTTTCCAGGTTGCAGTGAGCCAAGATTGTGCCACTGCACTTCAGAAAAACAAAAAACAAAAAACGATCCACAATACACTATCATTTGAAAAAAGACAAATTAATAAACAATGAACTCATCACAATCCCTTTTTGTATAAAAGGAGAAAAATTCTCTTTTTGAGTTTGGAAGGAGAATAGGGAAGATTTGGATATCTTGATTTCACTCAGTTTTTTTATTTTTGTGGGTTTTTTTTGAGATGGAGTCTTGCTCTGTTGCCCAGGTTGGAGTACAGTGTCGCAATCTTGGCTCACAGCAACCTCCGCCTCCGGAGTTCAAGAGATTCTCCTGCCTCAGCCTCCCGAGTAGCTGGGACTACAAGTGCCCATCACCATGCTCAGCTAATTTTTGTATTTTTAGTAGAGATGGGGTTTCAGCATGTTGGCCAGGCTGATCTTGAACTCCTTATATCAGGTGATCTGCCCGCCTCAGCCTCCCACAGTGCTGGGATTACAGGCATGAGTTACTGCGCTCAGCCACTCAGTTATATATGTCCTAATACAATATTGTTTAATTAAGAAAGTAAAGATTGGCCGGGCGCGGTGGCTCAAGCCTGTAATCCCAGCACTTTGGGAGGCCGAGGCGGATGGATCACGAGGTCAAGAGATCGAGACCATCCTGGTCAACAAGGTGAAACCCCGTCTCTACTAAAAATACAAAAAATTAGCTGGGCATGGTGGCGCGTGCCTGTGATCCCAGCTACTCAGGAGGCTGAGGCAGGAGAATTGCCTGAACCCAGGAGGCGGAGGTTGCGGTGAGCCGAGATCGCACCATTGCACTCCAGCCTGGGTAACGAGCAAAACTCCACCTCAATAAATAAATAAATAAATAAATAAGAAAGTAAAGATCGGGAAAAATGTGATGTTTCATTCCCTCCTAGTGTGTCCATGCACAAACATCTTGGGATAAAATCTCTTTGGCCAAGGGAAATTACATGCTTCACACACTGTTATATTTTATCTTCTGGTATAGCCTGGGGTACGGATTTTATTTGTTAGGTTAGACTAGGCAAACAACTTCTACTTTTCATGACTCAGTTATTCCTTTTTTAAAATGAGGACAATGCTTTTGGTGTTTCTGTGAGGTATTGTAGGGATTGAAATGCTCAAATGATAAAGGCATAATAGATTTGCTCGCCTGTGAAGATATCTTTGTTAACTTAATGGTCTTCATACCTCTGAGTTCTTGATCGAAACCAACATGGCAGGAGGAGTCTCTGACTCAGGTCAGTAGCTCTTGGACCTGTTACTAATCATTCATTTTGGGAACTCCTCTTTAGGAACTGCCTTTTAGTCATGTTGTGATTATTTGCATTACCCCGGGGTGACATGTTAGCTGAAGACAGGTTTAATTTTGAGCAACATTCAAGATTATTTGGAATCAAATTCGATTAATAAGATAAAGTTCAAATTTTGTGATATAATTATTGTTGAAAAATACAGGTATGCTACTATAAATTTATAAGATCTGCTTTGTGTGAATCCTAGATGGGACGTGAAGGTCATTCCCAATTTCACATTTTCAAAAATATGTGGAGCATTGAAATCACACCTGTTGCCTTCAAAATATGCACACCTAGAGGATAATATACACTTTACTCAATACTAGCATTTTATTAAAAACTTGTTTTAGGCAAGGTGCTGTGGCTCATACCTATAATCCCAGCACTTTGGGAGGCCGAGGCAGGTGGATCACCTGAGGTTGGAATTTGGAGACCAGCCTGACCAACATGGAGAAACCTCACCTCCACTAAAAATACAAAATTAGCCTGGCATAGTGGCGCATGCCTGTAATCCCAGCTACTCGGGAAGCTGAGGCAGGAGAGTCACTTGAATTTGGGAGGTGGAGATTGCGGTGAGCTAAGATTGCACCATTGCATTCCAGGCTGGGAAACGAGCAAAACTCCGTGTCAAAAACAAAACAAAAATAACAACGGCAAAACCTTGTTTTATTAAATCATTTCTAGTATCTTCTTTTTTTTTTTGATGGAGTCTTGCTCCACCACTCAGGCTAGAGTTCAGAGGCTGAATCTTGGCATACCGCAACCTCTGCTTCCTGGGTTCAAGCAATTCTCCTGCCTCAACCTCCTGAGTAGCTGGGATTACAGGTACCTGCCATCATGCCTGGTTAAATTTTGTATTTTTGGTAGAGATGTGGTTTTGCCATCTTGGCCACGCTGGTCTTGAACTCCTGACCTCAGGTGATCCACCCGCCTCAGCCTCTTAAAGCACTGAGATTAAAGGCATGAGGCAGCACACCTGGCTTGGCATCCTCATTTCTAATACCACTGAGGATGCTTGCCTATACAATGGTATACCTGTTGGGCAACAAAGACCTCAATGTGCTTCAAAGTTAGAATGCCTAAGTACTTAATGCATACAGCTTAGTATTTTTCACAGAATGCCAATTTGTTTTTATTCTCCTTTTTTGAAAAAGCGGATGATGTGGAAAAAGGACAAAAACAAGGAGAATTGGAAACTCCAGAGGAATTGATCAATCACCCAAAGAGAAAGTCTTGGAAAATCCCTATGACACCTGATCGATTCCTCCTGACTGTCAGCGCCCTGCAGCAAGCCCATAATTCTGGGGAATTTGCCTATCCCTGTAGGCCCCAAACAGAAATCATTGATGCCTGGGGACCTTCAATTACATACCCAAGGAAGGTCTTGAATCTCAAAGGAGAATCCATCCAACATGCAGTTAATCGGTTGAGATTCAGCAATCCTCCCATAGATGTGAAACAAACCAGCATTCCCCTTGAAATCCGGAAACTGCAGCCCAACTTGAAGAACTCTTTGCACAGTCCCAGAGTCCAGTCCACCATACCCCAGCCCATGATTATCCGCTCCAGGTTCTCTGGCAGCTTAAAGGGTGGAGACCAAGTGACCAGTTCAATTGAAAGGGCAGTGTGCAGTACGGGTCCCCTGACCAGTATGCAGGTCATTAAACCAAACCGCATGCTAGCTCCACGAATGGGCACAGCCACCCTGTCTCTTAAGAAAGAGCAGCCTCGAATCTACACAGCCCTTGATCCCCTTAGAGTGAACACTGAGTTCGTGCTGTTAACTGTGAAGGAGGAGAAAGAATACCAGGAAGCCAAGATGAAGGAATATCAGGCCAGGGAGTCCACTGGAGTGGTTGATCCAGAAAAAGCTCGCAAAGCCGCGTGGATCAGAAAAATCAAAGGCCTGCCTATTGATAGTTTCATGAAGCAAGGGAAAACAGTGGCCCCTGAACTTGGACAAAATGTTTTTATCTAAACCAGCCTTGGGAAATTACAATGTCTTACAATAAACAGAAAGCCAGGTGGATGATGCTGTTTGGCCTTTTTTTTTTTTTTTTTTTTTTTTTTTTGACTGTTTCTTCTTGGTATTTAACATGGGAACTCTTAATTGTCTTCCTCTAAGCCAAATATCTGATATCATCAAAATAAGAAAACAGAAGGAGGCTGGGAGGCTTCTCTAGTCCCACTGAAAACAATTTAGTGAGCATTAGGAAAACTCAGTTTCATTGATGGGGGATGAAGAGATGATCATTGGAAATTAGATACTATTCAGTGCTACCACTTTAGTGCTATTAGTTTTTCCAGCAAATGAAGTCATGGGATTATATCAGGGTAACAAATTGGAGTTTTCTGGTATTTTTACATAGAAGCCTGATGAAATCCACTGAGTGAAGAATTTGAAAGGGGAAGCACTCAATGGGATTGACCTGGTTGCATTTGATGACGTTGGGCTTTTCCTTCTCAGGGCTAACTCCTAAGGAAAAGAATTAGCATATTTATCCTCTGTACAAAGAGGACCAGTTACATCAAGTGCATTGAGGTTTCTGCTTAAACCTTTGGACTGCGGTGTCAGGGACTAGGTAATTTAGAAGAGTGCAGCCCACTACAAAAGCTATGGCCCGCTGGAAAGTTCAAGCCTTGGCTAGGCATGGTGGCTTACACCTGTAATCCCAGCACTTTAGGAGACCAAGGTGGGTGGATCACCTGAAGTCAGGAGTTTGAGACCAGCCTGAGCATCATGTTGGAACCTCGTTTCCACTAAAAATACAAAATTAGCTAGACCTAGTGGCGCGTGCCTGTAATCTAAGCTACTCAGGAGGCTGAGGCAGGAGAATTGCCTGAACCCAGGAGGCGGAGGTTGCAGTGAGCCGAGATCGCGCCACTGCACTCCAGCCTGGGTAACAAGAGCGAAACTCCGTCTCAAAAAAAAAAAAAAAAAAGGTAAGTGAGATTCTCAAAGTGGGAGTGAGAGGGGAGACCCCCTCACCTCCTTCTATTTCACCTCCTCCCTTCCCTGCTTCCAAATGGGAAGGAGAGTGAAGAAAAGAAAAAATAAAATACCTAAGAGGGAGGAAAAGAACTCCCTTTTTCATTCCCAGCATCTCTGTGATCTGTTCACATACATTCGCAGCTTTCTCAAGGTTATCTGTGCCCACTGGAGCCAGGCACTGGGTCACACCCCCACATCTCCATGGACCCGGCTCCTTCCTGCAAACACCTCTGCCAATCAACAGCTTGTTGGCTTTGTCTTGTCTCTGTAAGCCCCCGTCCCCGTGCCGGTCCCCGCTCACCCTGCATATGAATTGGCCAATCAATGAAGCCAAAAGATTGTAAGGTCAGACGTCCAGCAAATGGACAAGGACATAGTTCCACATCAGTTTCCTCTTTAGCGTTGTAAGGCTATAAATGGGGAGAGAAGCTGCAGCTCCAGGAGCTCGGTGAATGAGGCTGTAGCCCCCTGCAGCTCCCGGCTGAATAAAAAGCCACTGCCTTCCTCGGTTTGGTGTTCGAGAGATTTGTTCCTGGCTGCTCCCGCTTCAGTTTTATAGTGCATCTGACCAGAAAGGGACCCCTTGGGTAACTGCAGACTCACTCTCACCAGTGTATTAAAAATCACCTGCATGTCTGAGAGGCTGGCTGTCCTTTCCGTGCTGCACAGGAAGACGTGGGCTTTCCTCCTTCAGATGCCTGAAGGCAGTGCTTTGGCCTGAGTGGTTTGTGGCCTCCCTCCAGCCCCAGGCCCCTCCCTGGGTCTGGGCTCCCTGGTGGGCACTGCAACCTCCCTGGACATTTCCTCCTGCACTAGCACCACTAAAAGGTATAGACCTGAGTGCTGTTGTACTCTGGCTTAGTGTGTATCCTTTTCATTGTGTAAAATGGGGGTTCTTTTCATAATTCAAATGGCTGTTTTGTTTACTATGTCCTTGAAAACAAACATTGTGACAAAAACTTTCCAATGACTGTGCTGTAGTTGGACATTTTATTACCAACATCTTTACACCTTCCTTTTCCCTCTGGTTTTCCGGAGCTGTTTGACTCCTCCTTCTCTCCTGATAACTTGCAGTCTTTCCTATGTCATAAGAAGGATACATTTTCTTCTGAAAACCGGCAGGGTCTCCCTTCCTAACATAATCCGCCGAAGAGAGGGTGGTAGGAGGGAGAAGAGCAGCCAGGGCAGACCAGCCTGTGTGGGGGCGTCCCTGGTCCGAGTCAGTGGCCAGAGCTGCCACCGGGCTTTGTGCCCAGCCTTGCCAGGGTGTCAGGAAGGCCATGCACTTACACTTGATCCCTTTCCGTGACTGGCCTGCTGCTGGTTGACCTCATTCCTCCTTTTTTGGGCATCCAGGATTCAGGACAGCCATTCCTTTATTCCTTGACGTGAAGGAATCCTTGCCAGGCTTGGATTGCAAGACCCAGGCTGTGGTATAGCAATGTGTGTTTTGTAGCAAGCTCTCTACGTGATTGGAGAGTTGCAAATGGAAAGACATACTATAACCAGTGGAGAGAAAATGTGCCCAGCTATTCTAGTGCACGGTTCTGTGACAGATCACAAGGCCGGGGCAGACCTCTATGATGTCCTCTCCCAGTGGCCTCCATACTTCCCCTGCCCTCAGCGGGTCACAGTTCTCCTGCTTGGCCTCATGTTTGACTCTGAAGCCTCTTGAGTTCTGAATAGTTCTGCCCCCTCTTTTTTCAGATGCCTCTGTGGCAAACCTTTGTGGCAAGTTATTTGACTTTCTTTACATAGAAACACCAAGAACAGCCGGGCGCAGTGGCTCACGCCTGTAATCCCAGCACTTTGGGAAGCCGAGGCGGGTGGATCACGAGGTCAAGAGATCGAGACCATCCTGGTCATCCTGGTGAAACCCCGTCTCTACTAAAAATACAAAAAGTTAGCTGGGCATGGTGGCGCACGCCTGTAATCCCAGCTACTCAGGAGGCTGAGGCAGGAGAATTGCCTGAACCCAGGAGGCGGAGGTTGCGGTGAGCCAAGATCACGCCATTGCACTCCAGCCTGGGTAACAAGAGCGAAACTCCGTCTCAAAAAAAAAAAAAAAAAAAAAAAAAAAACAAACACCAAGAACACCAGAGAGTGCCCCGGGTTTCAGACTTAGTCCAGTCTCTTCACATTAAATAGAACCATTGTTGTGTTCCCCTGGGGGAAGCTTCACTCTGCCTGGGCTAAGACTTTCCAGCCAGCAAAGCTCCATTTCTCCAGGACAGGAACAGAAAGCTTTGTGACTGAGAAATGAGGTGCAATACTGAACACTGTCCGCTTTCACACCTTGACTCTCAGACCTGTACCTTCTGGCTGTGAGGGAGTCAGCACCATCTGCTGGTTTCCAACAGAAAGGATAAAATTCAGCATAACTGAGTGATCGTAAGCCCAGTGGCTTCCAGGCGGTGGGTGATGTAGTGAAAACAGTTAGTTCCTTGGTCTGGGGTTACTGCTGCATGTCCCTTGCTGTGAATGAAGTGACCTGGTCCAAAGCAACGCCATGTGGGCTGCTGTCACGGTGACAGGAAGGACAGGCAAGGCAAGTCTATATCCAGGTAGGGGCTCCGTGCAGTGAAGGCTGATCTCAGCCCCCTCCACAGTGTGGCATCCTACCCACAGGCAGCCAGCCAGTCCTCCTGGGAAATAGTGCCAGCCCAGGGATCAACAGCAAATCTCTCATCAGCAGATGGGGTGCTTGGCAGTGGTGTTGGCCTGGTCAGCCTTGGTCAAGCCACGTGCCGCATGCTGAGCCTGTCATGTCCCAAGCCTGCCTGATGGCCACTTGTCCCCATCCTAATGTGGTGGCCAGGGAAAGGAGCTGACTCCATCCACCTGGCATGCCATTTTGCCCACCTTTGATCAAGAGCATCCTCTGTAGGGAATCTCTTTGGTGGGAACAATGGAAATGTGGATGAAACCACCTTCCCAGTCCGAGCCGCTGAGGCACCCCCACCCTCTGGGAAGCCCGGCTGGAAGGCGCTTGGCAGTGGTACCTCCTGTGGCTGTGGCAGTGGCTAGGCTTCAGGACAAGACTTTCAGGAGGGCAATGTTGTAGCAGGCAGGGCCTGGAAGCTTCCAATTGGCGTGTTGGCATTGCAGACCAGGGCGCTTGGTTGGCTGCTGGGCCAGGCTCCAGAGTGCTGACTGCCCACACTGCAGTGATGAAGTCAGGAAGAGGCAGCAGTGTTCACAGCTGTTGACCCCTGTGCCAGCCACCATATCATCACTGCACAGCTCAGCATCTCTGGACCGGCTTGCCCAGGTTCTGTGATGTGAATCCTCGCAGCACCCAGGGTTCACAGTGCCCTAGTCTCCTTCGTGGTCACCTGGGGACCCACTGTGCCCCTCTCCACCTAGGACTTGTGTTGAAGCCAGGTCCCTCTGGGCCTGGGACTTGAGCCATGGGGAAGGGGTTCTGACCCACAGGTGGGGTCAGAGGTCCCAGGGCATGCTGCTGGCTGGCAGGGGCTGCGGGAACCCCATGCTCAGCCTTCCTCCAGAGGCCCTGATGGGGCCAAATTCCCCATCGAGTTGTTTTTCCCAAGGCACAGAAGCCAAAAACATAAAATAAAAATAAAAGGTCAGTAGAAAACAAGGTCCAGCAGCCATCTGGGTCTTCGAGGCAGAAGAGCAGAGGGCCCCTGGGCTCCTTCGACGCCATGTTGTTGTTCTACCGAAGGGAGTCGCATGCAGGGGAAACCTTGTTGCTGAGGTTTCTCTTGAAGTGCCTCTTCTCTGTCATAAGCTCAGGCAGGATCTAGTGTCAGGGTCCCACTGGGCTTGCTGGGCGGGGTCCGTCTTGTAGTCCAGGGCTGTTCACAGAAGATGTAGAACTGACAGAGTCCCAGGAGCCGTGTTCAAAATGGCAGCGCAGGAAACTCGGGTCCCTGAGGGGAGGGTCTATGTGGAGCAGTGGCATGGAGTTCCTGGATGAGCATTTCCATGGAATGCTAAGCCTGACCTGACCAGGGGAAAGGCAGCCCTCATCATCTTGAGCCTCTGTATCCCCCAGAGGGTGACATATGGCCCTGGGTCGTGGAGAAGCCTCTGCAGAGTCCCTGGAGCCATGTTCGAAATGGCAGTGCAGTAAAGGGAGGCCCTTGATGGGCAGGTCTCCATGGGTTGGTGGCACAGAGCTCCTGGAAGAGCTACTGGATGAGTATTTGTCTCAAATGCAAATCCTGACCTCTCCAGGGGACAGGCGGCCCTGATCTCGAGCCTCTGGGCCCCCCACAGGGCAGTGTGTGGCCTTGGATGAGTATTTGTGTAAAACCCAAAGCCTGACCTCTCCAGGGGACAGGCGGCCCTCATCTCGATCTTCTGGGCCCCCCACAGGGCAGCGTGTGGTCGTGGAAAAGTATTTGTGTGAAACGCCGAGCCTGACCTCTCCAGGGGACAGGCGGCCCTTGTCTAGAGCCAATGGGCCCCCCACAGGGCGGCGTGTGGCCTTGGATGGGTATTTGTGTAAAACGCCGAGCCTGACCTCGCCAGGGGACAGGCGGCCCTCATCTAGAGCCAATGGGCCCCCCACAGGGTGGCGTGTGGCCTTGGATGGGTATTTGTGTGAAACGCTGAGCCTGACCTCTCCAGGGGACAGGCGGCCCTCATCTAGAGCCAGTGGGCCCCTCACAGGGCGGTGTGTGGTCGTGGAAAGGTATTTGTGTGAAACGCCAAGCCTGACCTCTCCAGGGGACAGGCGGCCCTCCTCTTGATCCTCTGTGACCTCCAGAGGGCGGCGTGTGGCCTTGGATGAGTATTTGTCTGAAACGCCACGCCTGACCTTGCCGAGGGACAGGTGGTCCTTATCTTCAGTCTCTGGGCTGCCTCTGGGTTGTTGGTGAGCCCTCTCATGCTGGTGGGCCTCCATCTGGGCCTTAGGGACAGCTCTGTCAGGCCAGGCTGTCGGAGGACAAGGCCTTTGTCGCAGGGGGTCTGATGGCATGAGTTCCTGGGGCTGAGCTGGTGAGGTGGGGAGAGTCTGTCTGTCCTCCTCACGGCACGGCCTGATGCCAGGGGACACCCCCGAGGACCCTTCCTTGAGCTTGGCTGAAAAAAAAAAAACAGACGTGGCGAGCATCTTCACCGAACCCATCTGTTCTCTTCAGGGCTACACCCCACAAGCCTGGGTCTCTGGAATCCTCAGTGTCCATGTGTGGCCTCCTGGTCTGACACCGAGGATGCCCCTGCAGGCAGCTGATTTCAGGGCGAGGGCTGTGTGCCGTCTGCGGTGGAAGACCTTTCGAGGAACCTCAGGTCGCTCCTGGAATGGCCCCAGTGTTTTGGGTGGCTCAGGGCTTCCTGCCTCCCACCCTCACCTCAGGGCTGCTCAGCACCCTCGATTTAGAACACAGGTGGAAGGGACCTGCACCGTCACCCAGCCTTCTTGCCACCTCAGATGGGGCCTGTCTGCACAGAGCATGAGAAGGCCCCAGGCACGGGCTCCCCTCTGCCCTCCGGGCCCTCCACGCCATGCTGGGGCTGGACCGATCCCACGCCCGGCTGAACTCTTGGTTCTGGCTCTGGGTCAGGGCTTCCCCACAATGCCCTCTGCCTAAATCCTCTCTGGGTCAGGAACACTGATTCTCTTGCCTCTTGTCTTGTTATCTTGACATCCTTGGAGGGACACCCAAGAATGGGGGGTCTCTGCTGCGTGGAGGTAAGGGTGGGGGCTTCCACAGCTGGGTCTGACTGCCCCAGTGTCCCTCAGGGCCCTTCGAGGGGGAGAGGGGAGCAACGTGGAAAGTGTGGGAGGGGTGTTGGGGGGTCCTGCCCACAGCCCCTGCCTGCCGGCACAGTATGTCCAGCACACGTGCGCTCAGCACCTGCCCTGAGGACCAGCAGACCCATGTGACTTTCTTAGAGTAGAGGAGGAAGAACAGGTGCAGGAGGAAGTCCAGGTAGGAGGGCTGGTGGGGCCAGGGCACTCCCCACCATTGACTGCCCAGAGGGTGACTCAAGAGGGGATCTGGTGCTGGAGCCCACCTGGGGGTGGCAGGTTCCAGTGTGTCCCTGTGAGTTCCTTCATGGAGGCTCGAAGGTTCCTGAGGGCGGCATTGCCCTCCAGAGCCCAGCTCTGAGAGAGCCGCTCCCGAAACTCCAGGATGGTGTCCCAGGAAAGCTTCATGAGGCGCTCTAGGGACAGGGTGGGCATCAGGCCAAGAGGGTTCCCTGGGAGGGGTCGGTGCCCACACCCTGTTTCCACCAGGCCCACCTCCCATTGGGTAGTGCCGGGTCCTTTTTGGCCACCCGGGGTTGAGCTGTGCACAGGAGGCCACAGCTGGGGAAGGCCGTGCAGGGAAGTGCACCGCACTCCTGACTTCCGTCTGGGTCACGTTGGGGCACAGTGTCATCAGGCCTTGCCTAGCCCACCAGGCCAGACCCCCGACCCGATGGAGCGGGCAGTGTAAGGACAGTTCCCTCAGGCCAGCCGGGGTCTGTCCCGCGTGTTCCCCCAGGCACCCTTGGGCACACGCGACTTACTCCTGTGCATTTTGAATGATGCATGCGCCATGGCCGTCAGTACCCGCTCGCCCTCCAAGATGAGCACATCCCACAGTCGCAGTGTGAGTCCGAAGGATTTCTGTAAGGACGGCAGGTGTGGGAGGGCTTGGGCTTTCCAGGCGGGGGTCGGGGGCCTGAGCAGTGCCCATCGGGGTTTCAGTCCCCTGGAGTGGTGGGGACCCTTGTTCATGGGATGAGACCCCCCATGAGGTTGGGTCAGACAAAGTCCTGCAGCTCCTCCTGGGGGACTCATCAGTGCTGTGGCTTCTGGAAGGAGGGGCTTCCTGAGGACTTGGGGCTTCCTTGTCAATTTGGGTCCTAATCCAGTCTGCCCACAAGGCTGGGCCTGAGCCCTGGTCTCTGCTGTCAGATGCCCCCTCTCAGGCAGGGCCTGGCTTGTGTGCCCTGCAGGGACCTGTCTGTGCCTTCTGTGGGCTAGGGGTGAGCCAGGTCCTCCTGGGCAAGCCAGACCCGTAGGCTGAGGGAGCCGGACACTGTGGGGCAGGAGGGTCCCTGGGCTGGGGTCTCCCTGTGCCTCCTTACCCTGTCAACGAAACACTGGAGTAGCCTTGTCAGCATGGAACCCTCAATGCACAGCCCTTCCTTGCCCTGAAGAAAGGAGCAGAGGTGCTCAGGGTTCCCTGGGTTGCCCTGAAATCCTCCCACTTGCAGGCCCCTCTGCAGACCCTTCCCCAAGGGACAGAACCCAGGGCGGTGGCCAGGGCTCCAACACCTGCCCCATGTACGGATGCCCAGTGGACACACTTCCCTCAGCCCTGCTCAGCTGTGGCTTGGCCCTGGCCCCAGTGCCTCTACTCCACCAGGGCAGAAAAAGGAAAGCCAACTCCAAACCCATGGAGAATGCCCATCCCAGGTCGGGCCGTGGCTGGGACTTGGCCTCTTGCCAGCCCGATGAGGAGCTCGGGCCTCCCCTGGCCCAGGGACCCAGGGCTTCTGGGGAGGAGCCGAGGGCGTCATCCACTCACCAGGTGTCTCATGATCTCGGGGAAGGACTTGTGCAACACGTGCTCCTGGTGCGATAGGAGCTTCTGCAGCGGGGCTGGATTTGGGCTGTAGAATGCTGAGAAGCCCCCGACCCATCACCCCATCAGAGCCCACTCCCAAGATGTGGAGGCATCAGCTGGAAGAGCTGGGCAGGGAGGGGGACCCTGGACCCCAAGGCCTCCCTCCCTCCCATCATGGTGACCCCTCATGTGGCCCTAGCCCTAGGGAGGTGGGTCCTGGCTGGAGGCGCTGCCCAGCGGCATCCTGGGTCCAGGTGCCAGGAGGGCAGGCCTGTGTTTGACACCATGAGGCAGGTGCCAGCAGGGAGAACAGGGTGGGAGCTCGGGGCTACGTGAACATCTCTTGGATGTGAGGTCAGGTTGGGGGACACGGGATGGGCAGACACTGCCATCTTGGCCTTGCTGGCCCATCCATGGGGAGGGAAGGTGGCTGGGAACACAGCCACCTGGGAGGCAGGAGGACATTCGGGGAGGTGAGTATCACCTGCACAAAGTCAAGGCTGGCTTCGGTGACAGAGGGCGACCAGGGGGAGGTATCAATGTCCTCTGCTGTTGGGGATGAAAGGGATCTGACCTGACATGAGGGGGTCCCTGCCCAGACCCAGGCTGCTGTGGGACCTCAGCAGGGATGTCCTGGAATCTCCAAATGAGCTGGGATACAAGGAAGGCACCTTGCCTGGAAGTCCGGATCACCGGACAGGGTGGCCGTCCCCTGGCATGGCTGTATAAGGCACTGGGGACAGATGTCCACCTACCTTGCAGGAAGTGCCTGTCACTGGCCAGAAGCTGGGTCAGCGCCCAGAAGGCATCTTCCTCTGGCAGATACAGGAGGAGGATTGCGGCGATGAGGCTCAGGTCCCTGTGGTAGCACATCTCCTGCAAGAGCCGGAGTCACTGTAGAAGGATGTCACCTGGGAGGGCGTGTGTCACCAGAGATGGCAGAGGGTCTCAGGGACACCTGCCTCAGGCCCCAGGGGATTTGAGGTGCAGCCTCTGCACCCCTCCCCTGGCCCATGAGGACAGAGCAGGTCAAACACAACTCAGTGGACAAGGAGCCTGGGGGGACCCCTGCCGTCAGCATTCAAGCTCACATGGCCCAAAAGGGCACAGGCAGGGATTGTTCTTGCCCCTCACCTGGGCCAGGCTGGAGAGGGCACTGCGCCAGGCCTGGGGCAGCACCTATGAAGTGCACCCGCCATGAGGGCAGGCGGTGGGGCGCTGACCACCACACAAACGTCCCGCAACAACAGCCCAGGGGCTGCCTGCCGGGCACAGGAGGGTGGATGGGTCCAGACCCCATGTGAGCAGCCCATGGAGTCAGCTCAGCAGCTCTCCCTGCCTGGAATGGTCTGGAAAGTGGGGGCCAAGCAGGAGCAGCCACCTGGGTGACCCCCTCCCCTATCTGCTGTGCTCCCATGGGGTTTGGGCAAAGGGGAAATTGTATCCTTTCCAGGTTTCCAGTGAAGAAGAGGCTTCCTCAGGATGCAGACTCATTTCATAAGAGCCTGGCCCATCAGGCACCTCAGCAACGTGTCAAACCTGTCTCCTGTGAGGGCCATCCTGCGTGGGACCCTGCCAAGCTCCCAAGCTTTGGGGAAACACCAGGAGGGGACGGTCATTTCTTCCTCTGAGATGTGGTGGTTGGGTTCACGTGACACCAGGAGTCTGGGCCTCAACCCTTTTCTGCTAGCACTGAACTTGAGTCCTGCCTACCACCTTCTGGTGGGTCACAAACACTGAATTTTCAAGAAGTGCCGACACCCCCGAGAGAAACCCATGCCTGTGAATATGGGAATATGGCCCAGGAATACCGCTGCCCAGGAATACTCACAGGGTTATATGCAGAGTAGGCCATGAGAATGTCACATAATTTCTGCTGCCTGGAAAAGAGAGTTTTGTTTGTTTTGTGTGGATGCTGTCAGTTTCATTTTGTCTACAAACCCGGACCACAAACACAATTCTGGGTTCAGATGATCCCCCAAATAAGCAGTGAGCTCTTCAGGACACCTGAGTTTTTAGGAATTGTTTCAGTAGTAAAATCCACATTCCTTGCAATGCAAATATCGCAGTGTACGGTTGGATCAGTGATCATTTTCCCTCTGGTTGATTTTTTTCTTTCCCCCTTTCTGGGTTTGCACACACGGAAGTGCAGTCTTTGGGATGTGCAGTTCCACGGCTCTGAACTAACGTGCAGGGCCTCCCGTCCACCACTGCAGCCCCTCCCGGAGCAGCTCCTTCATCCTCCAAGTCCCCAGCGCGTCCCCTTTGCGGCTGACCTCTCCCGGCTCCGTCAGCCCCTGGCCATCCTGACCTGTTCTCTGTCTCTGTGGTTTGCCCTATTCCTGAATGGTCTGTGAATTGGAATTCGACAGAGGTAGCCTGTTGGGTCTGACTTCATTCCCTCAGCAAGATGCATCTACAATCCACCCATGTTCCTGCGGGCATCAGGGGTTCGTTCCTTTTCCTCACTGAGTCGTCTCTGGCTGAAGAGCGGAAGCCCCTTCCTCCCCAGTTCCCGTGTTGAAGATCATCTCGGTAGCCTCCAGGTGTGAGTGACAATCAATCAAGCAGTGAACGTGGCATGCGGGTTTTACTTGAACGTCAGTTTGAAATCAGTGTGGTCAGTATCTGTGACACTTTGGGGTTGTGTGGTACGAGGCTACTGAGCTTTGTGAGCCGTGGCCTATCTGACTTCTAAAGTAGCTGTGCCCTGTAGTGTTCCCACCAGCCATGGATGAGAGTTTCTGGGCCGGGCATCCTCCCTGGTACTGTGGGCTGTTAGTGTTGCCCAGGAAGGTTCCCGAGCCCTGGCATCGTGCCACCTTCCCATGGGTCCCTACCCTGGGTACCTGTGGGTCATGGAGAGCACTTTTCACCGTTCTGCATATGCATTTCTTTTTCTTTTTGCTGCCTGTCAGCTCCTTGGGAACCACCTGGGTTCTAGCCCCACACATCCCAGCCTGGTTCAGGGCTTAGAACCCTGGAGGTGCCCAGTCCATGGTGCCAGGTGCTCAGTCCATGGTGCTCGCTGCTCCCTCGGGCAGGAGAGCCCTTGGTGGCTCTGTCACCCCTCCTGGGTGACCCTGGCCTCTGCCCTGGGGAAGCCGTCATTCCTCTGGATTGCCCGATCTTCCCTGGCACCCCTGCAGCGCCCACAAGCCTTACTTGACCCCGAGTCCTTCTATGAACATCTCGTGGTTCTGGAGGGTGTGCTTGACATCTAGCTTGATGAGGCCGATGATCCTGGAGGAACTCTTGCCCTTCTCCTTCATGACCTGTAGGGAAGGACCAAGAGGAGGAAGCAGCCTCAGAACAGACAAAAGACTCCCTGCCCCAGACAGCAGCCATCCCCCAGTCAGCACTTCTGCAAGGAAAGGAGGAAGGTTTCCTTCTGCAGAAAGCTCCTTTTTGCCTTGTTTCTGAAGCCAAGGAGGGTCAGCAGAGCCCAGCGCACCTGTGGCGCCTGAGTCACCATCGGTGCCTGGATGTGCATCTGACCAGAACCCCCACTCCCAACCCCGGCTCCACATTCCCTCCAGCTGGGGTCCCGGGTGCCTGCCACGGCCTGGCCTGTTTGTCCTCCCCTGGCTGAGTCTGGGAGGGCCTTACCCTATATTTCCCGGGGTTTTCAGTCTTGATTTGGCCAATGTCAAGCAGGAGTGACCATGCCTGACCTCGTACTGCTTGGGGAATTCCTCTGTACACTCTGCGGGAGAGCTACAGACAGAAGAACACTCCAGTGTGACAGGACACGGGGTGGCCCCAGCAAGGAAAACTGGCGAACAGGCCTGCTATCCTATAGTGAGGATGGGTGCCACCCACCCACTGAGAGGCAGGTGCTGCCAGGTCACAGCCATGGGCACCTGTTTCCTGGCTCTGCAGAGAGCAGTCATGGGGACCACTCCCTCCCCATGGTACCTTCTCGGTGTTTTTATATTTTGGCCAGTCTTTAAGCATCTTGACCCACTTCTGGATGCGTATTGCATCCTGACGTTTTTGCTGTGAAATGAGCCATGATGGAGTTAGTGGAGCTGTCAGGCATCTGGTAGTGGCTTGTGGATGCTGGGTCCTGGGCTTCGGGGGCCCTGAAGGGACCCAGTGGGTAGGAGCCAGGAAAGGGCAGACCTCAGGGGTGGAGACCCTCTGAACTAACTGCAGCTAGAAGTCTGGCCTGGTGATGCCAGGACACAGACCTGCTGAGTTTTGGTCGGTCCCAGGCTTCAGCTCGGGACTTGGAGCCAACAGGCAGTCGACTCTGAGCCAGGACTGCAGTTTGCGTTTTGGTGAAACCCTCATGGGAACGGAGTTCAGCAGGAGTGGCTGCTCCTCCCATTGATAGCTGTGGCCCACTCACCACCTCCTGGGCCTGTGGGCCACCCCGGCTGCCTCACCAACCACCCGATTCCCTGTCCCTGGACCAGCCTCCCACACAGCACTCCCAGGCTCTCACCTTCACCTCCGGAATACGGACAGGGAGCAGCTCTGTCTCACTGTAAGGCAACCCAGGCAGAGCTGAGGACCTGCCCAGGCCAGGATCCATCCCCCTCCCAAAGAGGGCCCCAGGGAAAGACAGCCCATCCCTGTCCACCCTAAGTCTCAGGCTGGGAGAAGGCACACGGAAGGAAGACAAGAGCCTCCCTGTGGAGCTGATGCCCACGAGGCACCGGGAGCCTGGAGAAGAGGGAGCTTGATGCTGGCCTGGCGGGGGTCACTTGGTGCCGTGGGGTGACTCCGGCTGCACAACGGGGCTGCCCCTCCTGGGCTGGAGGCAACACCCTCTGTGGGAGCTGAGCAAGTCCAGTCCTGAGACAGGATGGCTGCAGCCCAGTGTGGGTGGCCGAGCCCTGACGGACAGCAGTGCCTCGGGAGTGACCACATCACCCACCAGAGTCCAGGGAGCCTGGCCTGAGAGCTGCCCAAGGCCCTGAGGACACACCTGGAGCCCGTCCCACCCGACACTCCCCACGGGCCTTGCAGGGTCTGACCTCCCAGCATGCACCTGCCTCTGCCTGCACCCTGGCCGCTGACCCTGCCTGCTCCCCGCCTTCCCCCATCCTGCCTGGCCCAGAGACTGTGACCTTCACTCAAGTCACCCTGGCCTTTCTGTGACCCTTGTCCTGTCAGAACCTCTGAGTGAGACCTCCCTGATCCGTCCACACCCAAGCCTCGGCCACTCTCTCACTGGGCTGCCCAGCACTGCTGGGGAGATATCCAGGGCAACGAGGGTGAGCAAGGGCCCTGCAGCTAGTGGGGCTGCCCCACCACCCTGCCTCCAGCCTCAGCGGGCTCTCAGGTCACTGACGTTCAGCCCTCAGCCTCCTCCCAACCACTGTGAAAACCAGGACATGGGGTGCCTGGCTGTCCTCCCCCTACTGTCCTGCCCGCCCTAACTCTGCCCCCCTCATCCACCCTCTGCGGTGCTGACTGAGCCAGCGGGAAGCAGGGTCCCTGGAGGGCCACACAGAGCCTTGGGGACTGACTGAGTCCCCCAACTGATAGGTCCCAGGTGAGCCGCTGTTCCCTGCCCACCCCATCTGCTGTGCTCCCCAGACTGTCAGCTCCACGCTGGGCCGGCTTGGTTCAGGTGCTTCCCAGAAGTGGCAGGTCTCACAGGCTCACTCTGCACCCCTCCCGCAGGCTCCTCCCTCTCTGGATCCTGTGAGTCCTGAGGGGTGGGCTCCAGGCTGGGCTCTCCTTCCCAGGCCCAGAGCCCTTCCCAGCACCACTCCGGGGCCTTCAGCTGCACGCTCTGTTGTCCCCCTGGCTTCAGTGAGAAACCCAGGCCAGGGACCTGCTCTTCTTCTTCACAACCTTCCACGGCCAGGGCCAAGGCCCTCACTGTCCCCATGCCCCCTCCGCTGCCTGAGCCCCCCGAGCTCTCAGAGATCTGCTATACAACTGCCCACAGGGAGGCCAGGTGTCCCTTGCCCTGTGGCCACAACCCTCAGATCTCACCAGGGCAAGCCTCATGGGGACAGGGCCATACCCTCAGGCTGCCCCGTCCTCTCCTGCTTGCTTGGAGACCACAGTGCTGAGAGCCCAAGGACCTGTGCCAGTCCCCTCTCTGTCCCCACCCACTGTCCTGAGCTCCCTACATGTGCCATGAGGCTGTGCCAACCCTGACCACGAGCTGGACCTACAGGAGAGCCCGGGAGGGGTCCTGAGCCTGGAGAGGAGGTTGGCCCGAGCCGGGGAGACATGTCCTGCTTCAGAGGGGCCTTTCTAAAAACAAAACCCATTGCTGAGGCGACACTGGTGGTTGGGGTTGGTGGCAAGGGGTGGGGTGAGGTGGGCAAAGGACTCACTGCATAATCCCAAGGTGCTTGGTGTCTTTTTCATTATCAGCAGCCCCATGCCCCATGTCCACTGCTGCGCCAGCTTGGTGTCCCTGAAATCCAGAGGTGGCCAGGGTAGGGGGGCAAGGTGAGGGTTTTTCAGCCCAGGGATGTGAGCAGAAGGAGAGATGAGCCCCTGCCTCCCTCGAGGGAGTGGCCTGACCTGTACCTGGCAGATGATGTCGCCTTGCCCCTGGCCGGGCAGTGTACCCAGGGCCTCATCCACCTCCATCCTGCAAGACAAAGTCATCCAAGGTTCTGCTGCAGCCGAGAGCTCCAGAGAACACCCGAACCGCTCCCACTGCACCCCGAGACACACTCCACTGTGGTAAGCCCCGTTCCACTACCCTCCCTGATGACAGGGGCCAGACTGAGTGGCCCCGCCCCTGACTCAATCTCTGGAGTTCTTGCCTCCAATCAGTGGTGGGCTCCTTCCTGAGGACTTGAGCACATGGGGACCTAACAGAGAGGCCCATTGTCCCCAAGCAGCCCAAGCCAGACAGGCACTGATCCCGGCAGGACAAACAGCGTCTACTTACTGAGGGGGAAAACCCCACAATGGGCTGTTCTGAGCACTTGGAGACAGGTGGGGTCAGGGATCCTCCGGGGATTTTTCAGGGACCAGGAATATACTCAGTTTTCTGTAGGAAGCAAGACATCTGGTGACTGCTCCCCTCTACTCCAATTCTGACTCACTCTGGCCGGTGAAGCCGCTTCAGGAACACCACCAGACAAGCACTTTGGTCTGGGGAAAAGACCATCTATTGACTCCAGAGCAGCCTCTGTGCTCGTGAAGACCCTATCTCAGGTGGAGGGATGGCAGATTCCACAATTCCTAGCTGTCATTACAAGAGGGACAGACAGAATGGGACACGGTGGGAGGGTTCCAGTCCCCAAGACCCTTTGACCAGAAGGTATGATCGTCACCCTCCAGGCAGCCCTCCAGGGCTCCTTCATTTTCCACAACTGCCTGAGGGGAGAGCACTCCTCACATCACTCCTAGATGAAGGACCCCATGTGTCCAGCAGGTCCCACAGCAGCCATCAGTGAGCGCACCTGAAGTCTGAGTTGGTGAGACCTCCTCCTGTGGGGACCCAGCTTGGGGCACAGACTTGGAGCAAGAATTGCACCCTCCACCCCACCCACAGGGCTCTGTCGCAGTGCCTCTTCCAGGACCAGACTCTGCCTCACTGGAGTCCAGAACTCCAAGAAGATTTGGAATCTAGGGCAGGGGGGTCACAGGGGTCAGAGCTCAAGTCCAGCATGGCAAAGGGTAGGGCTGAGAACACGGCCCAGGTCACATCTGGGTCTCTGGGCCAGTCACCACCTCTCTGACTCACACATCTCCCCTGTGGAATGGGTACATCTGGGGACAGCACCCACACCACAGAGTCGCTATGAGGACAAATGAGAGGATGGTCCACCCAGTCAGTGTAGAATGTGCACCCGGGGAGTGCTGAGGGATGGCTCTCCTTGGCATCTGCCCAGAGGTCACTCACCTGAGTCTACTGAGGCAGTTGTCTCTACCACTTAGAAAAGTCATTTATGCACAGAACCAGACACCTGTGTGTGTCTTGTGTCCAAGTGTCGCACAACACACAGGTGGGCGGGTGAGCAGGTGGGTGGTCCCTCAGTATCAGTGACATGGGGTCATGACACTCATCACAATGGCTCCATTGCCCAGGCCAAGAGGGCCCAGAGTCCGTGGCCTCCAGCCCCCCAGGTGCCAAGATGTGTTTGTGAGATGTGTTTGTGCGGATGAGCATGCAGTTTATGTGGGTGAACATGTGTGTGCAGGAGTAGCTTCTCTGGCCAGGTCTAGCTGTCCCATTTACATGTGCACCCAAGTTCTCATCAATTCCTCATCAGTATCACCTTCCCCTGGGGCCTGTGGCCAGCATCACAGCATCCATGGTCTTCCCCGACCTGAGACCTCCCCACCCGGGGCAGTCCTGAAGATGCAAATGGGGGTTGGGGGTAGACCGTACAGGGTAGGCCTCCTCATCACGGGGAACTCAGCTAGACTGTAACATGCTAGGTGTGAGTGGCAGGGTCGGATCCCACACACCTTCTCACCTCCTCTTCCCGGTAACCTTCCAGGCTGCCATGACTTATTTCTGCTATGGATGGAGGCAAGGACACACCCTGTGCCTGAGGTCACCCAGCAACTATCTGGCCAGGCCCCCACTAACCAGACCCCTGCTGGCCTGGCTTTCACTGACTGTTTGCCTGGTGACCAGGCCTTCCTGACCAGGTCCCCACTGCCCAGGTCCCTGCTGCCCAGACCCAGAGCAGCAGTGCTCAACGTCCCCTACTGCAATTGCCCACAGGCAGACAGCTCCCAACCCTGCACCCAGACAAGGGACCCCATGTGTCCAGTGGGTCCCACAATGATCATCAGTGACTGCACATGAAGTCTGACTTGGTAAGACCTCCTCGTGTGGGGACCCAGCTTAGGGCACTGACTTGGACTGAGTACCACCCCCTCCACCCCACACATAGGAGCTCCGTCCCAGTGGCTCTTCCAGGGCCAGACTCTGCCCCATCGGGGGCCAGAGCCCCAGACAGATTTGGAAACTAGGGTAGGGAGGTCACAGAGGTCAGGGCTTGCACAGGGCAGGGCTGAGAGTCACAACTGGGTCCCTTGGCCAGTCACTGCCTCTCTGACCCTAGGCATCTCACTCACCTGTGATATGGGTACATTCGGGGACAGCACCCACCCCACAGAGTCTACCAGGTCAGTGCAGAACAGGCACCTGGTAAGTGCTCAGGGATGACCCTCCCCAGAAGCCAGGACTGCTTATCAGGTAGCGACTGTCCCCAGGTCGGCAGGGAGGGAACAGGGCAGGTCACACTCACCCGAGTCTACTGAGTCAGCTGTGTCACTGAGAAAACTTTGTCTTTGCAGAATCAGACACCTCTATGTCTTGTCTCCAAGAGCTCCAGACACAGAGAGGGGAGGCGGGCAGGTGGGTGAGTGTCAGCACCAGTGTCACTGTGAGGTTACAACACGCATCACAATGGGCCCCTGCCTGGGTCAGCAGGGCCCAGAGTCAGCGCCCTCCACCCCATGAAGTGTCCACATGCTTGTGTGCAGTGTTTGTGCATGTCAGCATGCACGTGCTATGTGGGTGAACACGTGTGCATGGGTGTGTCACTGCTCTGGCTGGGCCCGGCTGCCCCACTCACATGAGCACCCAGGGCACTGGGTCACCCTTGCCATCGTCTCTCACCTTGGGACCCATAGTCATCATCTGAGCATCCCCATCCAGGGCACTCCTCGAATTACAGAAAGGGGGTGGGGGCAGAAGGTTGAGGTTTGGGGGCAAAGGGCAACGGGTAGGCCCCTTCCTAGCAGGAGACTCAGCTAGGCTGTGAAGTGCTAGGTCTGTGAGTCAGGGCTGGATTCCACACACCTGCTCACCTCTTCCTCCCAGTAGCCCTCCAGAGTGCCATGACTCGTTCCCACTACAGATGGCGGCAAGGAGGCTCCAAGGACAAACCCCTACCTGAGGTGACCTAGTGACCACCTGGCAAGGCGTTTGCCAGCCAGACCCCCACTGACCAGCCCTTCACTGACCAGTCCTTCACTGACCAGGCCCCACCGACCAGGCCCCACTGACCAGGCCCCCACTGAGCAGAACCCTGAGCCTCGGTGCTCAGCGTCACCTACCAATGACCCCACTCAGTTCACAGACCCTCCCCTCCCCACATCAGCACCAACAGGCCATGCCCTGGGGGTCTTGTAGGGTCAAGGCTCCTCCTCCAGGACATAGAAAGGGACAGTCAGCCTCACGATCTGGATGCCCAGCTTCATGCTCACCCCAAAAGCCCTCTGGGCTCACCTCAATGGGGGCAGTGAGGTGGCCTGGCACTGCCTGGTCATGATGTCTGAGCCTCTTCCTGAGCCACAGACCCAGAGGAAGCAGGAACGTTTGTCAGGCCAGACACCCCATTCTGCTGAGTCTCCCTGGGTGCTTCCCGCAGAGGCTGGATCCAGAGACACACCACAGAGGCCACAGGGTTACCGGCCCAGAACTCTTGAGACTGGGCCAGGGACCACATGAGGACTGTCCCCAGATGGCCAGAAGACCCTTTGCTAATTTCTTCGTATCTCATTACTTACCAGCTGCCCTTCCCCCACCAGGAATCCCTTTCTTGCAGAGTCAATGAGGAGAGGAAGATGTTCACAGAATCCACTGAAGGAAACAAAATGACAATAGAAGATCATCTATTTCCTTTCCATCTGAAAGGAAAGCCCAAGGAAGCCTATCGGGTTCCATGAGTCTGAGGGCCCCCGAGGATGGCGTCAGACAGTGCAATACCCAGCAGCTGGGGCTGTGCCCGATCCCTGCAGATGTCATCAAGGGCACACCTGGGGACGTCTAGTGTCATGGACCTTGACATAGAGCAGAAACTGGGTCAACAGGAGTGCGCATGCAAGCGCGCGCGCACACACACACACACACACACCTGCACACTCACACACTGGAATAAAATGAATTTTGTAGGAAGTGTGCAAGTGTATGTGCACTGCTGGGTTACTGGCCTGTGTTTAGCTTCATGAACATGGGTTTCACTTTATTTTTGTGAGGTTCCAGCTCTTGCTCATAGAATCCCTGCCTGTTTTGTAATCTTCCCTTGTTTACTGCCTGTGGACTTCGAGTAGCAGACAAAGAGAAAACTTTGTAGAGATTGTTTACTCAGCCCCCACAGTTTCCGTAGCAAATCTCTTAATTCCCATCACCTCCAGGGAGGTCACTGCTGGGATCCTAGGAATCGTGTGCCTTGTCTTGATAGCCACAGTGGTAACCATGATAGTCAACTATTCCCTCTGTGCAATTCTGGAACTAAAAATCTCAGGTAACAAGAGTACAGGAAGCAATGAAAGCAACACTAAACTGAGAGTTTCATGGCCTGTGCTTCTAAGAAATGTAATATTTTTACATGAATAACGAAGAAAAAAGGACTTTTCTGAAGTTCCTACCATTTATGCTATGGATTGGGTTCTTCTCTGAAAGCAGTTTCATTGATAAATGTGGATAATTAACTGGAAGTAAAAGATTAGAGAATCAGCAAATTGTAAACATAACTGTGCTTTTTTATGCTCAAATAACATTAATCAGATTGTTGTGGATCTCCAGAAACATTTATTTGCACGCGTAAGTTCTATATTGAAATACCCAAGTTTGGAATCCTTCGGGCAACTTATTTGTCATCAAATAGAAATAA